ATTAAACTGTCAGGGATTGCGCACGTGTGAGCAGTATGTGTCCTCTATTTAAAAAGCTGTATTTATATATATTTACTTGGAAATAACAGGAGGGGAAATAAAGGACCATATTAGGAAATATGTCTTTTGGACTGTGAAATACCAATAATTACAAAGCGCACATCGACGATCGCTTGCGCTTACCTTTAGGAGTGACTTTTCCTCTGCTCGGCTGTACCTACATGAATAAACTAAATCCTCTATTCTCATTCTCCCCCCTCGCTGTGCAAAGGGAGCCAGATGTTGAAGAGATGCGCACTTCTGCTCGGATCTGTGTGCTGAGTAGCTTGGCTGAAATCGATGCGGGTCAAACAGACTGAGCTGTCACCCCCCCACCTCCCCTGCTAGGCTCCGATCAGGCAGCGAGGCGAGGCGGATCTGGATGCAGCTGTCTGACAATCGGCTGAGCCGCTGATGACAGCGGCGCGAGGGGCGGGCCTCGCGGACCGGAGCTCTGAGCGTGGGTTTAGTGGTTGATTTGCAGGAACTGACCTAAGCCGCCGAAGTTAGTCACAGACATGTGTTTGAAAAAAAAAAAAAATACAAACATACTCTCTCTCAGTAAAAAGTTTAGATTAAATTGTGTAATATTTTACTTTTTCCTTATCTTTCCCAACTAATTTAACACTGCTGGTGTAGTGAATAATTCAGGCAGTTGTTCTTGTGGTAATTTATTGCATTTACGTCTATGACAAACAAAGAAAACAGATAAAATCTGTTTAAAACTTTGAGGAAAAAATACATAAATTACTACCCCTAAAGAAAGTCAGCTATTTGTCGCCATCTGCTGGCCAGATAGCAGAAAGCCATGCTGATTATTTTTGGAATATGTCCCAAAATAAAATATGGAATAAAAAAATTTTCTCATATTTTCCTAATTAAAATATTTATTGAATATACAGGTCAATTTAAGCATATTCTTTTCTTTACTGCGTGGCAGAAAAGTAATTTATTAAACACACATGGCAAAAGTGACTAAATGCATGATACTTATGTGAATGTATTCCTAAAAAATATTTAATTTTCTTAAACTAAAGTGCAAAATCCAAGCTTTTCAACATGTCTTGATTTTCAAATTAAAATTTATTATTTAAAGTGAAATCCATTGTTCAGTCTGTCCTATGTTCAGCCATTACTGAGTGGTTTGGGTAATCTATACGTCATCTCAAAAAAGTATTTAGGTCTACATGTGGGATCCTTAGAGCTGGCCTTCTCTCCATGCATGCAACACATCTAGGGTCAGGGAAAGGACAGCAAACCTCTCTTCAAAGCCTATATATTCTGCAAACAAACTACCCTGACTTTATTCTCCAGGCAAGCTATACAGAGTTCTATTTGGATAAACCAACCACCACAGAAATAATTTTTTTTCTCAAGCCTTCCATCTGATACAAACTAAAAGAGTCAAAGTTCCTTGCTAATCACTGATATATAAATAGCTTAGCGCTGCCACTTATGATTATTTTGCAAATCGATTAATCAGTTAAGCATTTTGTCGATTAATCGATTAATAATCAGATAGCAAAAGGTTCCTCAAAAAAGACTTTTTGCGAAACTAAACCAGGTAAAAATAAAACTTTTCCATTTGAGGAGTTCTGAATAGTAGTGTATTGACAGACATTTTTTTTTAACTTAACTTTTACAATTTTTTGTTGGTTGCTCTGTCAGCTTAAGGCATATTTTATAGTCTCTATACTCCAGATAACGATTAATCGACTGCTAAATTAGCTGACAATTATTTCAATAATCGATCAATCACGATTAATCTGATTCATTGTTTCAGCCATAAAATAGACAAAAATATACATTTTAGTTTCCCTTTTTAAATGTTTATATTTGAAATGTTTGAAGGTGGTAATTGATCATAATAAAGTGAACTCTATTAGGATTTAGACTTGACTTTCTTGAACTTGACTTTCAGCAGTGATTCTAATAATTTACCAAACTTTTTCATCTAGATCACTTGAGGATTGTAGTGTGTGCCTCTTTGATTAAACTGAAGTAGTGTTTGTGCTTTCAGGAATAACTGTTCAAAACAGCTACTGCTTTATACTTTGGTCAGTTACAATAATATATGCCATCCCAGATGGTATATTTTACTTAAAGTTTAATTAAACAAAGCATGTAATGTTCAAGAGGAAACAAAAATTAGCAAATGTCTGTGTGTTCAAAGGTAAATTAAACATGCTTGCAAATTTATTCTACAAAAAAAAAAACATAGAAAAGCAATTCCTCCACACTGTTTAAAATTTGCCACAAGCTACACAGCAAACGTGTGGAAAAGGGACTTTGGCCAGAAGGGAACAGCAACTGAACATGGTGTCACATGCAAAGCACCTAATGTGATAGAAAACAAACACTGCATGTCTCCCTCACTGCCCCATACTCCTCATACAGAGAAATGTGGAGGAAGCATTATATTGTGGAGATGCAGAAGAATTTTTGGAAAGATTGAAGTGGAGGGTCACCTTTAAGAAGAACTACAACCCTAAATAGAAAACTAGAGCTAAAATGTTTTAAAAGAAAAGAAAAAAAAGTTTCATAATATTTCTAGAACTAAATTTGATAAAGAGTTTTATTAGAAAGCTTTAATTGCTGAGAGACTAATGTTTGGACTGGGTGATTGGTGAGAAATTCCTAACTTCAAATTTATGAAGGTAGTTTACGTATATAACCTAAATACTTTAGGTGATATCACTCTCTTAACAGCTTTCAACATGGAGTTTAATCCGTTTCCACCAGGCAATGAACATTATTTTTACATTATTTACTTCAGCAGCCCTAACCATTTGGTAAACCCTATACAAATAGGACACTGTAGCTTGATTATTGGAATTTTTTCAATCAATACCCCCGAAAAAAAAAAAAATAATAATACCACAAAAATATCACCGTCACAAAACTCAAAAAAAGAAGAAAAAAAGAAAAAAAAAAAGAAAGAAAGAGTTTACTAAAAATAATCATGACTAATCTGAAAAAGAAATGCATACCCACCCCCACTTCCCACTTATGCAATGCTGGACACCAGGGGCAGAGCTAGATGGGGGGCCACCCTGAGCCAAACATTAGCCACCCCTGTGGCCATTCTTACTATTTTTTTATCTCTAATACAGATGGTAGGAGCTGGAATACTCTCAGGTGGAATATTCAAAACATTTTCATTTTTCAGATGTTAACAGTTGCTCGGCAACAAAAACACTGTGGTTAATTATGCAGAGCAATATACTAATATTAAAGATGATAAATACAGAATTCCTGCTCTTTTTAAAACTTGTGTTTTTTGGTAAGGAGAAAATGATGTGTCTTTGCAAGTGATCCAGGAGTCTTTAGTGAAATCATTGATAAATAAATATTTAAATAAAAACTTATTAAATAAACAATTTATGTAGATTTTAGTACTTGTAAAATATCAATTTTATGCAGAATGATTATTGATAAAAGTTGTTAATTAATGACAATGAATAAAATGTTCAACTCGGAACTCAAACCTGAAAGAATTGTATGCACTATATCTTTATCTAGAAAGGACGGATGTTTAAATATATGTGTCTATTCGTTAGTGACAGTTGTAGAAAAGTATAGTTATACTTTATTTAGAAACAAATGGATGTTGTAGTTGTTCGTTTTCCTGTTGAACAGAGGCGTAGCCAGAAAATTGTTATAAGGGTGGCCAGGCAATAACCAATGTACGCTGAGGGGTGGCTGAAAGCGGATAGACACTAGAAACTCAGGGTCAAGCCAAAGATAATACAAACTATACTTTCCTACAGCCTTTGCTAACAAATAGACACATATATTTAAACATCCCTGCTTTTTATATAAAAGGTATAGTGGATAAAATTCTTTCAGTTTGGAGTTCAGGGGCGAACATGTTTTCCATCGTCATTACTTACCTACTTTTATCAATAATCATTCTGCATAAAATCAATATTAACAAGTACTAATGTCTACACCGTCTAAATTGATTATTTAATAAGTTTTTATCAAAATAGTTATCTATCTCTGATTTCACTGAAGACTCCTAGATGAATGCAAAAACACATCATTTTCTCTTTACCCCATAAAACACAAAATCTAGTTCTGAAAAGAGTGCTGTACTTATCATCTTTAATGTTAGTATATTGATGTGTATAATTAACCATAGTGTTTTTGTTGTCAAGTAATTATGAATCTATTAAAAAAAAAATAGAAAGGCAAAGCAAGGCAAATTTATTTGCATAGCACAATTAAGTACAAAGACATTGCAAAGTGCTTTACATGATTAAAATATAGGAAAATAAAACAGAATCAAAGCAAGTAGGGAAAAAATTTAAATAAAAAATGCAGAGACAAAAAAGAACATTAAAAACAGTTGAAAATAAAAAAGTTGATCTAATGATTTTCAGTTGAACTATTTAACTAGAACAACCGAAGGCAATCCTAAACAAATGTGTTTTTAGTCTTGATTTAAAGGAACTCAGGCTTTCCGCACTTTTACAGTTTTTTGGAAGTTTGTTCCAGATAAGTGGAGCATAGGAACTAAATGCTGCTTCTCCATGTTTAGTTCTGGTTCTAGGTATGCAGAGCAGGCTGGAGCCAGAAGACCTGAGTGGTCTGGAGTAAGTAATATATGAAAAATTTAAATGTTTTGAATATTCCACTGGAGAGTATCACTGCTGCCACCATCTTTTTCAGAGGGGGAAAAAATGGTAAGGGTGGCCATGGCCACCCCTGGCCCCCTATCTAGATCCACCCCTGCTGTTGGAACAGTGTCGATTGAACCTGAGGTTCTGGCTCCAATCCACTTTCGGCCACCCCCCCAGTGTACATTGGTTATTGCATGGCCACCCTTATTAAAATGTTCTTGCTACGCCTCTGCTGGACTGAGGTAAACAGAATGAACATCATGATCTCTGTTCTTTCATGCAAGATAGGATTCTGACCTACAGAGGGCGCTGTTTCATCCAGGAGCGCTGCGTGACGTGGCCAGAAGTGGGCGGGGCCCAGTATACAGGTCTTCTCCCATTCATGCAGAGCCTCGAACATTAGCAACCATCGCAGCGCAGTCAGAGCAGACGCGCCTCTTCTTCCTCCACCTAGAGACCCTCGGTTTCCCCACTCTGAAATAAAGGACACAGGTGAGAGCTTTATCTTGGTTTTAGTCCACGGGCTCGTATTTATTAATGAATTCATTTCCCGTAGTTGGTGTCTAAGCGGTAGCTGGAAAAGGAAAGAGAAATAGCACAAGTGAAAGGAAAATATGTAAAAATATCACGTCCTTACTGCCCCTCAGACAGCCAGTTTTCTCACTTGTTTGTATTGAAATAGGTGAAAGGTTTCCTTTAAAACTGTTGACGTTGAAATGCCTCGCGGGCTGGAGACCTTGTTTTGGCCTTCACTACTAAAAGGCAAAGTTTGCGTTTTTTGTTCTTAAAATGCGCACATATATATTTATTTATATCAATAAAACCGCTACGATGTGCTCAGTGTGACAGCTGGTCGAGATGAGATATTTTTAAATCCTTCGCTAAATTGTAAATAAATAATACAAAACTTAGAGGAAATGGCTCAACTGTTACTATTTTATTTCATATTTGTAAATATTGTTTATTTATTTATTTTGCCAGAGCATAAATGTAGGCAAAAGTCCAATTAAAGGTCATTCAATGGACAAAACAATTGGCAGCTCCATAATAGAGCGTAATTAATCATCCTGATGTCAAGTAATTTAGTAATATAGAGTGTGCATATTTTTTTTTGTTTTTGTTTTTTTGTTAAAGTATAAAAGTTGTTACTAGTTTTGAGGTATGTCACCTGCCTGTTGAAGGTCAGTAATACCTGTCTGGTCACCGTGTCCTAAAGGTAAGGGTGTGATCCCATTTTAATCTAAACTCATTCTGTTCCTACTTTAGTTTAAATCAAATTAAATATGGAAATTGGTGTTATGGGATATATAAGTCACCTTATTTTAGGTTAAGCATGTGGGTGGCGTAGGTGGAAAAATACTTGCCATGTTACCTTTTTTGTATTTTTTTGGTCTAATAGCTTTTATTTTTAAATCCGGTTGCAATTTAGATCTGGAAATTTTTTTTAGCAGGAAGACACTGAAGGGTTTATAGCAGTATAATTAAGATCACCTCCAGACATTGGGTGAACCAGTACTTCTTGTACTGCATTTGTCTGTTATAATAATTACAAATCGCCTTGCGTAAAACAGAGCTGTGGTCTCTTGGTGGCTGTATTGTCATCCGAAATGACTTGCTTTGCAGGTTTAAGACGCTTTTGCTTCCTCACAGTTGTCAGTTTTTTTTTTGTTTCTCCCTGTTTCCATGCATTGCAGCGCTGCGACCTTTCCCCTAGTTTCTGCAGCACAGGGTGGATCATGTGATGCTGGGGGAAGGGACTGGCTGCTCACACGTTGCTGCTCTGCTCCTTCCCACCACTGCAAGCGTAGAAACGCCGCGTCCTGATTCTAGAACACACGTCCACAAAACAAGCCCAAAATCAGAGAGCTTTAGATGTTTTCCTCTCCATTTTCATGGCTGTAGCTGAGTATTATAATGTCATAATCAGCTGTTTAACAACGTTTCCTCTTCTCCTTATGTGTAAACCACTGGAAACGCACAACAAGGGCAGTGAAAGTCTGCAGAACAGGCCAAAAGTTGATGCATGTCTCCAACACTCATCTGGCCAGAGGTTTGGTGCACTAATCCTTTACAGGGAAACTGACACCTTCCTGAGAGATAAAGAAACAGTCATTCATACGTGCATGATGAGCATGCACACACACATTCAAAACAAAGGACTATTCAGTAAGACTCACTTACCTGCTAATTATGTCTTTAACGTTGGGAGAAAGCCAGATCACCTAAATATGCATGTGGAGAACATGCTGACTCTATAACCTTTGTGGAACTACCCTCCCTCGCCATGCGGCCAATGTGGGATTGGTTTAGCTTATATATAAACACAAATGGAAAAAGAAAATATTATTAAGATGAAGAAGTCTAAAGAAGCACCTGCAGTCTCAGTCTGCGGTAAAGCCCATGTCACCTGACGGTTCCTTTCCTTTTAAGAAAGTACCTGTCATTCTTTTTTTAGACTGTCCTTGTTCAGTTATTTAGTTCTTTAAGCATTTGTTGAGTTGTTTGTTTAAAAGGATTAAACTGTAGGATGACATGAAATTGTGCAATTCCTCCGGTCGTCTTTAAAATGAGGACTTGTTACTTTGAAGATCTGCAGCAGAAACTGATCAATGTAAGACATTGTTCTTCTTTGTTTATGCAGATATCCACATGTAGCGACTGAGTGTGATCTAACATATGACCTTTTGTCAAACCATGTTTACTTCTGATATTCCCTGCAGATGATTGCCACTTACATTAATGTCACTTCTACAGATTTAGGGCAGGTATTGCCTTTTATACTGCAGCAAGTATTTAGCGTTAGCGCCACCGTTTGTTTTTTATTCCAGGTATTTGCAAATCCCATTTCAAAGCAATGGCCTGAACATATTTCTTAATAACAAGCCACTCAATGCTCTCTGTGCAATCAAGAATCTACTCACCTCCAAATCCAAAGATGCATCAAACTTAAAGAAATACGATAGGAGCTGCTTTCTAATTAAAGTGGAAATGCCCTCTTATGGGCTTTTGGTTAGGGTTTCACTGCGTTTTTGTCGCCTTTTAACTGGACAGAGTATTTTTTGAGGTTGAAATGATTTACAGTTTTCTTCTGTTATGTTTGTTTTTTCTGCTTCCTTTCAGTGCCTTTAAACCAGCAGCCACCATGGCAGAAGCTCACCAGGCGGTGGCCTTTCAGTTCACCGTCACCCCCGATGGCATCGACCTACAACTGTGCCACGAGGCTCTACGCCAGGTCTACCTTTCTGGGCTTCACTCCTGGAAGAAAAGGTTCATTCGGTTTAAGGTGAGAGCTGTCGGACGTATTGAGGGGCAATGTCCAGATGGTTATCTGCAAAAGAAAACGCAATTTCTCTTGAATATTGACAGAGACTTCGTCAGCCGCTAGACTCGTCCCCTTGTAGTTTCTAGGATTCTTTGCATTGGTTTACAGGCGACAGAAATACTAGTAGAGACGATGCGATGCAATATCCTCTACTGTACACTTGTTAACAAAGTTACACTAAGCTGTTTAACCGGGAGGTCAGCCGATCTGACATGAACTGCAAACTGTGACCGTAACCTTCCTGAGAGTTCTTTGTGCGCTAACTTTTGGCTCAGAGGTTTGTTTACACACAGTCATACTGAATGACTCGACCCTAAAGACCTGCCAGCTCTTCTTTCTTTTTCTTTTTGTTTTTATAGTTTGCCCTTCTATGTTTAGTGACTTTATCACCAACAGCGATGAGTGATGTCATGGTTTTACAGATTATTATGCTAGCTTTGTTTATTGTGAGTTTACCTTTCACTTTCGCAGAATGGGGTAATGACTGGCGTGTACCCAGGCAGCCCGGCTGGCTTCATGATCGTGGTCGTTTCATACATGTCCTACAACAAATACAAACAGCTGGATCCTTCCATGGGACTGATTGCCAAATTAGGCCAACACATACCCATCAGGTGAGCACGGTGTTGTTTTTATGAACAACATGGACCACAATAAAGTGCTGAAGGATATAATGAGGCCAATAAAGCAGCATTCCACAGAAGATTGGCTAATAACTATGAAGCATGATTAAAGAAAGATTAATCTGGGTGAATAGTAGTTTATCCATGGCGGTTTCTTCTTGGTCATCAGCCGCGCCTTCAGTTTGATAACAATGTTTATGATGTTTAGAGTTACAGGAACACTTTGTCCTCTCCTAAATCTGAATTTATTTTTTATCAACATTAATGAGTGAGTTCCTCATTCCGGTTTTATTTTTATAACAGCATTCAAGTTTCTTGTGATGCCAAGCAGGAATTCTTTGTACCTTCTTGTTTTTGTTGCGTAAGTTTAGAATACGTGTTGGCGAGAGTCACACTTCCTGCATTTCTTCCATGATCACGATTACACAGAGTTTATGATTTAGTTGGTTGCTCGTGTTTTTTTCTGCATCTACGCCTATTGGTTTGTATAATGAAGGCGTAATCTGCACATAGTGCCTGCTATCTTTGAAATCAGATCAGGTCTTGTCCAGCAGTCCTTTGTTTTCCAGTGTTTCCATTGTGCTGCGTAGAACCATAGATGGGAATTTTCTTGAAGTAAAAAAATAATCTAAATGGCTTTTACTTAATATAATCTTAGTTGTTTTACACGTTTTTGTTTTCCTTCCCTCCACCTGCAGCCAATACATGTCCACAGATAGCCAGAGGATAGTCGGAGGGGTTCTGGTGGGCACGGGCCTCTGGGTCACCATCATTATGATCATGAGGAATGTTCTGAAGTGCCTGCTGTCATGGCACGGCTGGATGGAGTCACGCCACGGGTCTCTGCCCTTCGGTACTCGCCTGTGGCTGGTGAGATGGTCAACATTCATTCTGGGTTTTTCTAGGTCCTCTTTTAAAGCCTTGACACTGTTAGAAATTCATAATAAAAACTTTCATGTGGAAAGTATGACATTTTTAATTATAACATGAAATGAAATCTAAGTCATTTTTTTGTTAAAATAAGTACATTTTTTCTTGAATTAAGGAGCTAAATGAGACACTTTGCCAATGGAACAAGACTATTTACATTTAAAATAAGAAAAAAAGCAATTGAATTGTCTTATTTCTAGTGCATATTATGTAATAATCTTATTTTGGGAGTAAAAATACTCATTCCATTGGAAAATCATCTTAAATTAAGGGTAAATACACTTGATTTAATAAATTTGTAGTTATTTTTAGATTGTCTTGCAGTGTTATAATTCAAAATGTCATACTTTCCTCGTGTGTTTGGAATTTAAATATGAAAGTTAAAAAGAGTAGAAAATCATAGTTGGTTAACACTAGTGGTGCTTGTGGCCAAATCTTTCAGGTTAAGTCAAAATTGATTTAGTTTATATTCTTCCATTTGGGCTTTTTATGTTCAAATGATAACTTTCTGATTTCAAACCTTTTTTTTTATACTTATGTTTTATATAATGTTTTGCAAAATGAGATATCTCACAGAGCACTAAGTTTTTCCTTTCCCTTGTGTTCAGCTTTTGGTGAAGGTGTTCTCTGGCAGAAAGCCGATGCTCTACAGTTTCCAGAACTCCCTGCCGCGGCTACCTGTTCCCTCAGTCAAGGACACCTGCAGAAGGGTAACTTTCACTTCCAAGTTCAGCGGACATGGAACTTTGCACCCAATGCTAGTTTAGAATTTATTGCGGTTATAGAGTTGGAATGGAGATAATGTTTTGAATGAGTAAGTAGTAAAAATGCATTAATGACAAAGTGGGTAAAAAGTGATATTCCTTCTGTGGGGAAATTCTTCACTAAACTGCAGGAGAAATTTCTTAGTACCGTATTTTCACGACCATAAGGCGCATCGGACTAAAAGGCGCACTCTCAGTTATGTGTCCCATTTCTGTATTTAACACACACATAAGGCGCACCGGACTATAGGGCGCGTTTTTTATATACAGGTACAAGTCCTCTACTACCTTTAAATACCTCTACTGCGTATTTAAAAATACAGCGGGGGCAAAACTGAGTATGACTGTGCTTTATTCATGTATTTATTACAAAGTATTAATCAAACCTGGCAGCTGGCCGTGAGACAGACACATCGCAGATGACACAGCGCTGTGGTCACTCCTAAATTAACTTAAAATCCTGAAACCTGCCGACGGAATATGTTCGCTTTTATTGCCGGTATCCTGGTGCCTGCAGTTTAAATTATTTAGATGAAAAACACCTGCCAGCAGCCGCGGTGAACCCCAGGCTGCCCAGCCTACAGGCTGCTGATGAAGAGATTTCTGCTGTCAGCGCACCGCTGGTATGTGGGGGTCTGAGCGCCTCCGACAGAAATAGATAATCTGGATGAACTGACTGCAATTATTAAGTTCTCAGGTGGCCTTTCTCACTTAAAAACATATTAAAACTACTTTATTCCCACTGATCACAGCAAATATAGCTGCAAGATTTAGATTATTTAGATGAAAAACACCTGCCAGCAGCCGCGGTGAACGAAAGGATTTCTCCTGTCGGCGCACCGCTGGTATGTGGGGGTCTGAGCGCCTCCGACAGAAATAGATAATCTGGATGAACTGACTGCAATTACCGTATTTTCACGACCATAAGGCGCACCGGACTAAAAGGCGCACTCTCAGTTATGTGTGCCATTTCTGTATTTAACACACACATAAGGCGCACCGGACTATAGGGCGCGTTTTTTATATACAGGTACATGTCCTCTCAGGTGGATTTTCTCACTTAAAAACATATTAAAACTACTTTATTCCCACTGATCACAGCAAATAAAGCTGCAAGGTGTATTTATTACAAAGTATTATTAAAACCTGGGAACCTGCCGTGAGAGACACATCGCTGATGACACAGGGCTGTGATTACTCCTCTGATACAGTTTATTGACGCATAAATTAACTTAAAAAATAGGCAGGATAATAATCTGGATGAACTGACTGCAATGATTAAATTTTCAGGTGGACTTTCTCACTTAAAAAGATTTAAATTATTTAGATGAAAAAAACACCTGCTGAGGTGAGTCAGGATGCGCTGCGGCCCAGAGCCTGCTGTTGAATTAAGTTTTTTAGGTAGAAAAATAGAGCTGGAGCAAAACTGAGTATGATTGTGTTTTATTCATGTATTTATTACAAAGTATTAATCAAACCCATCAAAGTCCTCATCCTCTGTTTCTGAATTAAACAGCTGCGCTAAATCAGACATGCCAGTTCCCCCTTCTTCTTCGTTTATTGACGCATAAATTAACTTAAAACATAGGCAGGATAATAATCTGAATGAACTGACTGTAATGATTAAATTTTCCGGTGGACTTTCTCACTTAAAAAGATTTAGATTATTTAGATGAAAAAAACACCTGCTGAGGTGAGCCAGGATGCCCCGCGGCCCAGAGGCTGCTGTTGAATTAAGTTTTTTAGGTAGAAAAATAGAGCTGGAGCAAAACTGAGTATGATTGTGTTTTATTCAAGTATTTATTAGAGTATTAATCAAACCCATCAAAGTCTTCATCCTCTGTTTCGGAATTAAACAGCTGCGCTAAATCCGACATGCCGGTTTCCCCTTCTTCTTCGCTGTCAGAGTCACTTTCCGTGCCGGGCGGCTCCTTGGAAATGATGCCGGCTTTTGCAAAAGCTCGAACAACAGTCCCAGCAGAAACGTTAGTCCAAGCATCTACAATCCATCCGCAAACGGTGGCGTAACTTGCCCGCCGCTGCCTTCCACTTTTAGTGAAACTGTGCTCTCCGTCTGTCATCCATCGCTCCCACGCCGCTCGCAGCCTTACTTTGAACGGGCGGTTCACACCGATGTCGAGCGGTTGAAGCTCCTTTGTCAGACCTCCCGGAATAACAGCAAGCACAGCGTTCATTTCTTTGACCTTTTTTTTCACATCGGCTGTGAGATGGGCACGCATGGAATCACAAATTAACAGAGATGGAGATGCGTGGAAAAAACCACCTGGTCTCCTTACATACACCTCCCTCAGCCAAGCTTTCATCATCCCCTCGTCCATCCAGCCTTTTTCATTCGCCTTAATAACGACTCCAGCTGGAAAAGTCTCTTTAGGCAAAGTCTTTCTTTTAAAAATCACCATAGGCGGCAGTTTCTGTCCATTTGCGTGGCAGCCAAGCACAACAGTAAACGACGCCTTTTCATACCCCGTTGTGTGTATCGCTACAGTGCTGGTCCCCTTCTTCTCCACCCTGTGATTCACCGGGATGTCGAAAGTGAGCGGCACCTCGTCCATGTTGGTGATGTGGCTTGGCTGGATGACTTTGTCAGCGATGTGTTTGCTGCAGAAGTCCTGGTCCGGATGGAAAAATTGCACCGTTTCATAAAACGGAAGCACCACGATGGACCTCCTTGAAAATTTTCAATTTTCATTTCTTCCGCCAGCTTTACTGCTTTTAGTCGAACAGTGACCGTTGAAACGCTGGCCCCACTCGTTCTTTGCTCCACGATCCAGCGCTCCAGTCTTTCCTCCAACTCGGCCACCTCGCCTTATGTCCGCGGAAACTCAGCTGCGTCTTCTTCACCAGTCGGAGTTCGTTTTCCAGCTTCCTCCACTTGCGAACCATCGATTCATTTATATTGAATTCTCTCGCAGCTGCTCGATTTCCATGTTCCTCTGCGTAGCTGATAGCCTTCAGTTTAAACTGGGCTTCATAGGCGTGTCTCTTTGCCATTTCCAGGGTTGTTAAGACAACAATGTTCTGCATACAGCACATACCTGTTCTTTTATACACAAGCCACGCCCACACTTCCCCCTTTAAGGTTCTCACATACTCATGGTGGTCTCAACAACGTCCGCAGATAGGGCGCACCGCACCATAGGGCGCACCCCACATTTTGAGGGAAAAAAAAGACGTTTAGGTGCGCCTTATAGTCGTGAAAATACGGTATTAAGTTTTCAGGTGGACTTTCTCACTTAAAAACATATTAAAACTACTTTATTCCCACTGATCACAGCAAATATAGCTGCAAGATTTAGATTATTTAGATGAAAAACACCTGCCAGCAGCCGCGGTGAACGAAAGGATTTCTCCTGTCGGCGCACCGCTGGTATGTGGGGGTCTGAGCGCCTCCGACAGAAATAGATAATCTGGATGAACTGACTGCAATTATTAAGTTTTCAGGTGGCCTTTCTCACTTAAAAACATATTAAAACTACTTTATTCCAACTGATCACAGCAAATATAGCTGCAAGATTTAGATTATTTAGATGAAAAACACCTGCCAGCAGCCGCGGTGAACGAAAGGATTTCTCCTGTCGGCGCACCGCTGGTATGTGGGGGTCTGAGCGCCTCCGACAGAAATAGATAATCTGGATGAACTGACTGCAATTATTAAGTTTTCAGGTGGACTTTCTCACTTAAAAACATATTAAAACTACTTTATTCCCACTGATCACAGCAAATATAGCTGCAAGATTTAGATTATTTAGATGAAAAAACACCTGCCAGCCACCGCGCTGAAGAGGAGGAGACGCGCCGGGGATGCTGTTGAATTAAGTTTTCAGGGAGAAAAATACAGCGGGAGCAAAACTGAGTATGATTGTGCTTTATTCATGTATTTATTACAAAGTATTAATCAAACCCATCAAAGTCATCATCCTCTGTTTCTGAATAAAACAGCTGCGCTAAATCAGACATGCCAGTTTCCCCTTCTTCGCTGTCAGTCACTTTCCGTGCAGCGCAGCTCCTCAGAAATAATGCTGGCTTTTGCGAAAGCTTGAACAACAGAGCCAGCAGACACTTTAGTCCAAGCATCTACAATCCATCCGCAAACTGTGGCGTAATCTGCCCGGCGCTGCCTTCTTATCCTGAAACTGTGGTCTCCGTCGGTCATCCATCGCTCCCACGCCGCTCGCAGCCTTACTTCGAACGGCTGCTTCACACCGATGTCGAGCGGTTGAAGCTCCTTTGTCAGACCCCCGGGATAACGGCGAGCACAGCGTTCATTTGATTCACCTTTTTTTGACATCGGCTGTGACATGGGCACGCAGCGATGGTGATGCGTGGAAAAAACCACCTAGTCTTCTCACATACACCTGCCTCAGCCACGCATCCACCCAGCCTTTTCCATTTGCGTTAATATCATATGTCATCAGAGCGCTGTCTGTCTCGCTGGCAGCTCCCAGATCAGCTTCCCTGATTGGTTGATGCGGCGCGTCCAGCAGCAAAACTTAAATTTTTCCATCTCGAGCAGCAGAAGCGCGTTGGCGGCGCTTCAGATGCTTAAACGCTCCCGACGTGCTGCACCAAAATGCGCTGCAGGACCTTTTGCTGCACCTATATGCGCGTCAACCATTGACTTTGCATGTAAACACGCTGCTTCTGCTGCACCTGCTGGGTCCGGTTCACACCGATGTCGAGCAGCGTTAATTTGTTTCCCCATGTTTTTCACATCAGCTGTGAGATGCAGCTGTGAGATGGGCACGCATGGAGTTACATATTAGCAGCGATGGTGAGGGGTGGAAAAAAAACACCTGGCCTCCTTACATTCAGCCACTCTTTCATCATCTCCTCAATGAGGTGGTCTCAAAAGTCGCAGTTACAACACACATAAGGCGCACCGCACCATAGGGCGCACCGCACATTTTGAGGAAAAAAAAAGACGTTTAAGTGCGCCTTATAGTCGTGAAAATACGGTAGTTTTTTTTATACACTGTCTTTCTTGGAAGGCTCATTCCTTTGTATCTCCCTGCGGGACTCTTTCTGTTGACAGTACCTGGAGTCGGTGCGTCCACTGATGGATGACGAGCAGTTTGAAAGGATGAAGGCCTTGTCTAAAGACTTTGAGAAGAATCTAGGACCCAGGGTGCAGTGGTACCTCAAACTCAAATCCTGGTGGGCTTCAAACTATGTAAGTTTGAAAAAATGTCTTTCTCCTCTATGTATTTATTAATTTATTTTTTTCATTAAAAGTCTCACTCAATATCCTTCTTTTTTTTATCAAACGCAGATTGCTTGATTTTGTTGGTCTTTTTTTTAAATTTTTTTATTTTTTTTTTTAAATCTTCTCTGTATCGTCTGTATCTCTGGCACAGGTTAGTGACTGGTGGGAAGAGTATATTTACCTGAGAGGCCGTGGCCCCATCATGGTCAACAGCAACTATTATGCCATGGTAAGTGACGTGGCTTTAGTGTCAGCTGGCAAGCAATTTTTGCTTTTGATTTTGCTTTTTATTCAAATAAAAGTGGAAAGAATGTTGAAATTTTTTAAATGTTTTTAACCTATTTTTCTTGCAACTTGCAAACCTTTCACCCAACAAATTAAATAATTTATTTCTCAAGTTGGAGGAAGACGTCTAAAGGTTTAATTGGCAGAGTTAAGCATTTTAGAAAAGATTCTTACGAGCCTGATATCCAGTTATATTTATTTTATATGTCACTGGTCTGAAATAAGAATTATTTCCCCAAAGGCACCTCTGATCTGATGATGTAAAAGTTTGCAGTATAAGCTCTTAGGAAATGTAAAGAAATGTTATAATTAATAAAGATGATAAAATGGAATAAAAATTTTGCATGCTTTTACCTTACTTATACAAAGAGCTTACCTACATCGGTGTGTCTCCTAGATGTGTTTGGGATTGTGTTTTTGTCCAGGTTTGTACTAGCAAACTGATTTAAGTTAAGGTAGAAGTATTTGAAGGTAGCCCTGGGTTCTCACTATTTACTGCTTCACTTAGCAAAGTAAAGCAGAACTACTGCCAGCAAGATTACCCCACATCTTGATGCTGCCACCACCATGCTCAACAGGGTTTTTAGGCTCCTCAAACATTCCTTCTTGTAATTGCTAGCAGTATAACCATAAAACCTTTACCCAGAAAACATTTGGTTTATCCACATGGGCAGCTGGGAATTCCAGTGAAGCTTAAAGGTTTACATTTTGCAGAATGTATTTCTTTGTTAGCCAGTGAATACAGTCCATGTTATTGTTAATCTGACCTTGATGTGGATGGGGACGTTACTGTTTCGGCAGTTTTCACTTCATGCAGACTCAATCTTTAGTATTAATTTATATGATGGTTACAGTTTTAACCAAATAGTTGGACATTTTCACTGGTGGAATTATCCATAAGGACAACAGCCACAAACAGATCACCAATTTCAGATAATCTTTAGGAACAGCTCGGACCTCTGCCTTCTTAGAAACATGCTTTAAAGCTGTCTTCATTAGACACTTCTGTTTCTAATGAGAAGAGCAGTCAAATCTTGAACCAGAATTGTCCCAGGGCCCCTTTGAGGGCCACCGAAAGCTTGTGTTTCATATGCAGCCAGCTTAGTGACACTTAACCAAATGTTAGAGGCGGAGAATGTTTAGAAAATTGTATCTGTATGAATGGATCTGATCTTTGTGTGAAGTAGAGATAATCCACAAGACTGTTGTAAAAATATTTTGGATAAATAAATACTGGCGTAAAAATAAATGTATTTATTTTTATTATTATGTGTTTCTTATTAATTTTTTTAGTTTTTTCACATTATATGTGTATTTAAACTTTTGGCCAAAGCTTGTATATTAGTCATTGTTAGCATAAAGAGGTTTACCCCTCTGTTCCTGTGTTCCTGAAATGCAAAAAATGCTGGTTGTTTTATGAATAAATCGTTTTTCTCTGCAGGACTTTCTGTATGTGTGCCCCACCAACAGCCAGGCGGCCCGGGCAGGTAATGCTATTCATGCCATCATGCTCTACAGGAGAAAACTGGACAGAGCTCAGATCAAACCAGTGAGTAGACGGATATTTGGTCTCTTCTTCTATCAATTTATCTCTACTTTATCTTTGCCAGTGAGGTTGCTATTAATATAATTATTTCAAAAGGTGTTTGACTATACCTTAATAGATAAAACATTATAGGATTATATGTTTTATCTTACTGTCCCTGTTCTTTAAGCTTTCCATAAGAACTTTTTATCTTTCACCTTTTCTTGTGTACTTAGAAGTTTGAAATCGTACTAATCATTGCTAATACTAGGTATGGGCCAGTTTAAATTTTTAAAGTATTAAAAAAACCTGCAGCAAAAATTCTGAGATAATAAAGAACTAAAAAATGCAAAAGTTTATATGGCTGCTTTGTTTGAAAAAAATACAAAGGCAACAATTTCTGCTGCTGTAAAATAATAAAACCTACTACGTCCAACTATGACTTCCCCCTTTGGCTGTTAGAAAAAATCCACAGAAAAGTTGCACCTTCTTATAAGCCACATGGTTCAAAGTTATGGGGAAAAAAGTTGCGGCTTATAGCCTGGAAAATATGGCAACTGTAATAATTTAATTTAAAACCTATATTTATTTAGCTTTAGACACAGCCTTGAACTAAAAATTGAAAGACACACACCTGCTTATTTTAATGGTTGTGCTTTACTATATATTTTGGTGTTTATTGTTCAGATTTTTTTTTCCTGTAGTAATATTTTATAGATTTTTTATTTAAAGTACAAAAAAACAACATTAGGTGATCAGGCCATCTGCCTAAAGCATCCAGTCATTTGCTTATTTGTCAGGTGTTTGTTTTCCTTTATCAAGTTTTACAGCTATGTCAGTCTGATAAAACAGGTTAATTTAACCAAGTATTTACAAAGAAACATGGTTTCTTTCTCCTTGGTGAGGGAGAGGTCCCGTGGCCTTCATTCATCTTGCTGATCAGCAGGCCACAGTAACAGAAGGAAGTGCGGGAGTTTGGTGCTACTTTAAGCTTCTAAAGTGATTTCCAATTTTCCTACAAAATTTAATTTTAACAGTCTTTAAACTGCATAAATAATATGACAGAAGGTTGTATTGGTTCTGAAACTGTAGCCTTTTCAAACTTTGATAAACTCTGAACCTAGTAACTGGCCCATCCCTACTTGATACACATTAACTCTTCTGTTTCTAATCCGACTTTTAAAGCCACAGTAAGCTTTTTCCCTTTTCCTACTGGAAACCTAATAGCATTTGCTGATAAAGCTAAGCTGTTTGCCTGTGTTAACACTAACTGACCTCATTAGTCAAATGATTTCATATATTATTGTCAGTTCTTTTTTTTTTCAGTATGCATGATGCTCAGATGTTGATTCTTACCACTGTGGCAAAATATGCAAAAGTCTTTATTAATTCTGAGATAAAAAGTTTGATCTGATATAAAAATTCCAATGCATGAGCTTGCTCTGTTACACGCTCACATTTGGTTGTCTTTGTTCTACTGTTTTGTTCTTTGGTTTTGACGGACGCTGCGTTAGATATACTTGCTGGCCAACAAGGTACCTCTGTGTTCTGCTCAGTGGGAGCGCATGTTTAACACCTCCCGCATCCCTGGTGTGGAGACAGGTAAGAGTAGGGCGTAGCCGCCACGCCCTCAGACCCGCTGCCACGCGACCCTACGGCCATTGGAAATGGTGACTCCACTACTCATTCCCATCATCACAGCCCTGATAGATTTTAAAGTCATATTTGGATTAGTTAAAATGATCTAAAGTCTATTTCATTGTAGGTGAAGCATTTTTATCTCAAGTCCAGGGTTTTGATGGTGGTATTGAGATGGCAGCGCACTGATTTCTGGTCGTCGCCTCTTTTCCTCTGAGGTCCGTCCTTCTTCCTGAATCCATTTTAATTCTACTTTCAGTCCCTCTCCATGCTCTTCTCCATATAGTTGTGTGTCTGGTGCTTCATCTCTGTTTTATTTTTTTTTTTGTGTGATTTACTTTCATCATCTGTGGGTTTTTTTTTTTTTTCACTCTCCCCTTTTGCTTTTCAGCTCATGCTCCTACAAACTATCCCCATGTGCTCATCCCAATACGAGCGTATGTTCAACACGTCTCGTGTCCCAGGTGTAGAGACAGGTAGAGTCTTTAGCAGTGCCGCCTCCTCCACTCTACTTCTGCTGTCCTTCTCCACAGGACATTTCTGTATTCAAGTTGGAAATAATCAAACTTCCACAAGTTAATAATGCATGTATGCATACAAATTTACATTCAAGTATTCAATTGCATGAAACTCAAAACAGGCTTCTCTGTTTGGAAATTCACTTTGATGAAAACAAGTATTGACTCCTTCCACTTAATCATTCACATCAGGTGTTCTGAGTAGGCCTGTAGACTTTTGCTGCTCTCAGGAGCTACTGATGAAAATGTTAAAGAAGGAAATAATTATGTTAATGCATCAGATAGTCAAGCTGCATTATTAAGTATCAAATCTGGCAAGTCTTGTAGATTACATTTGTTATTAGATATATATAAACTATTAGTTCAGCTTCATAATAAGAATATTTTTATACGATGTGTCTGGATTCCTGCTCATGTAGGGATTGAAGGAAATGAAGAAGTATATATATTTGCTAAACAGGCCTTAAAATCAGATATTATTAACTTAAGTATTCCTTTAAGCAAAAGTGAGGGTAATATATAATTCAAAATAAAATCTGTAAGATTTGGCAGGAACAATGGGATAATCATGACACTGGTAGAGATCTATATGAAATTCAAAAGACTGTGGGGGGTAAGAGTTGTACAAGGAAGGCGGAAAGAAGAGGCAGTCATATCTCGACATAGACATTGCTCATACTGCACTTAATAGTTCTCTTATAGGGAAACATAACACAGGGACTTGTAATCAGATAGAAACGGTGGAACATGTATTAATGGAACGTGATAAGTATTCATAGGAATGTCAGCATCTAAAGGTAACACTAAATAGAGAAAAAATTGGATTTTCAATTATAAGCCTTCTAGGAAATACATCTAATTCTGCTAGAAATCAGTTAATTAGATAAAAGAAAAACCTTGATTATTTAATCATATTTAAATAAATAAGTGTTTATATGCATGTGGATATTCACACATATTGATTTAAATGTAAGTTTGTATAGATATTGATTCATAGATAATATGTAAGCTTCGTTCATACCATTGAGGTATGAATTAATAACTTCCCTCTGACATCACTGATAACCACACTCAAGTCTGGTAGGTGGCGGTAAATGCACCTTAAGTTGGTTGCCATCCGCCCATAAAAAACATAAGAAGAAGAAGCTCACTAAACTCTAGCTTTCTACCATTGCAGTACACCTTCTCTGCAGACGGTGCAGTCCTGTTAATTACTTCCTACCAAGTTTGTTTTATCATAACCAGTTAGAGGCAAAGGACGGACATAAGTTCAGCTTAAAGTGCAGGACACTTAAAATCTCATATTATTAGTGGATGCTGAGGCAGTAGTGCACAAAGTTTGTCAGTCCAACCTCCAAACCTTGTTTACTTTTAAGATTAGCTCAAGAAAAGAGTGAAGAGAGCTTCATTCAAAAAGGTTAAAGTGTTTTCCTGAACAAGCAGCTTCATTTAAACCTTATATAACCAGGTACAATACATGCTATTAGACTTTACACTACTGATAAGGTCATCTGAATATTTGTTAATATCTAAATCTTTGGATTTTTCTGATATTGAATAGCCCCAATGCAGTGAACCATATTTAATGCCTCATTTTAACGTGGAAACATCTAATCGTTTCTGAATTTAACTGTTGGATCTGAGAAAAAACATAAATATTCAGAGGTCTTCCTGCCTAATTATTTGATCAACTGTGTGCAGTACACTAGAACCACATCCATAGCATGACGTCAACATTGTGTACTGAGGTGTTGTTTCAGGGTTCATAGTTCTGGAAACCTCACTTTGATACTCATAAACATTGTTCATGTCATTAGGCCCAAACAGCAGAATCTCTTCTAATAATAAAACATTTCTCCAGAAAGCATCTGTTTTGTACATGTTGGCAGCTGCTAATCTTCGTCTGGATTCACACTGACTATTACTCGTTGGCTCAGTAATCATTCACAAAGTGTGCTTTAACCAACACCAGATTCCTTTAGAAGCTATTCATACATTAAGACTAGGACTGAGAAATATATCATCTCAATATAGCAAAACACAATTTTAAAATCAGAGCCACTCCAGAGTAAAACGAATGTTTCACTCCAGCCCTTTAGGTCGCATCATTGTGGTTAAAGTTAGTTTGCGGCTACACTGTAGGGAATAGAGAGTTGCAGCTTGTGCATAGATCCATGTGTAAAAATAAGAGTAATTCCTGCGACAACAGCCTCTGAACAGGCCTGTTTACAAAGTAAAAAAAAAAAAAAACAATGCATCTTGGAGTGAAACATCTAAATGCAAATTGCATCTAAAATTGCAATATTGGTTGGAAAACCTTTGTCAGTGTATTGGATCTGTTTTACTTTTCCCTTGTCTGACATCCTGTCTGGTTTATTTGCTTTTTTTAATCTGACATCTGTCAGAAAATGACTCAAATCTCTATCTAAGGTGTGCAGTTTGCCCATAGGAAGAAACCAAATGCTTTCTGGGAAAAAAAATTTTATGGTCAAATCTAAGAGTGGGAGAGTAGACCTGGTTAAGGTTCTTTGGCCATTTCAGTTTAAGTGGCTTTGGTCTGTTTCGTACTTAGACAGAATATTTAAAACTAAGGCCTACCTCCAAACTATTCAAAATCATCTTTAAATATATTTCAGGGTAAATGTAGATATTTTAAACTAAATTAAATAAATAAATGACTATGGACTCGGACACAGCTGTTGTAAAACCTTTTTTAAGCAAATGTCACCAATGTATTATAGACATAGGACCCAAAGAGCTACTATCCTGCTTCTTTTAGATGCATACTTCTTCGTAACGCCTACATTAAATGAAAGGTTGGTTTCCTGACCTTGGCAGAGCTAAATGACTGATTGTGAGGGAGTCTAGCCATTTGTTTCAGGTGTGTTGATGCATGAAGAAAAGAAAACAAAAACAGAGCCCAGAGGACGAGGTTTGGGAATTCCTGATCTAGGGCCTTTATACTGTATATGCTCTCAAAACAAAACATTAAGAAAATAACAATGTTTCCTATCTTGGTAACTACATTAACAATATTCTTAGATATTGCTGGATACCTTAATATTATACAGCTCCAAAAAGATTGTTGTTCTTTTGGTTGCTTCCTGGGGTGAAGTTCCATGTTTTTGTTTTCTTGTCTGTAACATGATCAGTGCTTGTTTGAACACTTCATATCACTAGTACAGCATTACTGAACCCAAACATAAAATCATACTCTCGATTTGGTTGTCTAGCTGTGCACCGAGGTGCTCAAACAAACACTGCTACAGCTCAGTGTACCCCTCCTTCCCACCCCATCCACTGCACCCCTGTGTCCTGCCCCTTTAGATTTGTTATTAGAAGCATTACATAACTTACTAATCACAAGTTCATTGTATATTTCATAAAGCGGTAAAGTGTGGATGTCAGATTGTTTTATTCTTGTGTGTAGAAATGGTTACTAACACCTCTGGTGTTCTTAGGATTAAAACTATGTGACATTCATTGTCTGTATCCTAGATATTTTGAGAACAAAAATACACTGTAACACTTTCTTTTACAGTACATCAATAACCAAGTAATAACACGACAATAACATAGCAAGTTACACTATAGTACTTGCTAACAGGAAAACATAAAGGTATATAATTTAAAAGTAATTACTTGCAGGTAATTATTACAATTGTATGTTACTATGTAACAAATGTAGAGTTTTGGTGGGTAATTGCCTTTAGGTTACCACATCACAGTTTCTACTATTGGCCACCACCTTCCAACAGCTAACAAAGTAAATTGTAACTTATGATCAATTAACTAAAGCATTATAAAACTGAAGACAAGTTACATATAAGTAAGAGTTTAGTTAAGAGAATTGGCTTGCTGTCTTCTAGGTTTGGTTTTCTATTATACCAAGTAAAAAATAAAAAGCATTTTACTAGATAATAACACATTAATTTATTGCTGTCGGTGAAATGAATGAGTTACCTGGTAATAACTGTTTAAAATCTAAGAAGTCTGACTTTACCTTGTCTGAAATTGAAAGCACAGAACTTACCAAAATTCTCCATAGTTTTTCTTCTTACCTAATAAATTAGTGTAACTTGCTTTGTTATTATCATGTTATTACATGGTTTAATGGTGTACTAAAAGAAAGCGTTACCAAATACTTTAGTTTAACAATGCCAATATTTCTAAGTTTAAAATGACGATTATCTAATGGTTTTAATGTTGTAAAAATCACACAAACTTTCTTCCAATTGTATTTGTATCTCCACTTCTCTTTGTTCCCTGGCATCGTTACCTCTCTTAGACACGCTCCAGCACATGAACGAGAGCAAACACATTGCTGTGTACCATAAAGGCCGTTTCTTCAAGGTGTGGGTGTTTTACGACGGACGGCTGCTGCTGCCACGAGAGATCGAGCAGCAGATGGAGAGGATCTTGGCGGACAAGTCTGAGCCCTTGCCAGGAGAGGAAAAACTAGCTGCGCTGACTGCAGGAGACAGGTAGGTGGTGCTAGAGAGGGGGAGACGGCATTGTTTGTGTCATCTAGTGCAGGCATCCCCAACCTTGGTCCTCGAGGGCTGCTGTCCTGCAGGTTTTAGAGGTTTCCTTGCTCCAGCACAGCTGATTTTAATTTAAAGCTGATTAACAGGCTTTTGATCTACTGCAATCATTATAATCAGCTGTGCTAAAGCAGGGAAACCTCTAAAACCTGCAGGACAGCCGGCCTCGAGGACCAAGGTTGGGGATGCCTGATCTAGGGTAGCTGGGACAAGATTTATGTTTAGTGATTCATAGTAATGCTAATATTTAGGAACATTATTTTGAAAAGTTTTAAATCAAAACAGATTCCAAACATGAGGACAAAGTACTTACTCAAACCTGAAAAGCAATTTCAGGAATCAGATATATATTTACTTTGTTGTTTTACTTTTGACAGTGTTGCAAACACAACAGCTGTTCATTTTGTGTGCTGTAATCAAGTGGAATCTGGAGCTTGTGTAAACTCTGTGCTCAACTCTGAGACCTTTAGTTGTCCTCACTGTAAAATAAACAAGGAAAAAAAAAAAATAGCCGTGTCAATTCAGTAAAGTTTCAAGTTCAGATCTATGTCTTTTTGTAGATGGTTTAGGGAATTTGTATCAAAGAGTTCATGAAACATTTATCCACTACCTTTATTATTGGAGAATTGATATAGTTAAAGTCTAGTTTAAAAACCAGTGGCCGATGACTCCAGCAATCACTAATAAATAGCTTTCCAGTATTCTGTCCTCTAAGCAAACTGCTCAGATTAATGTTTAAAATTATTTAAACTCTGCTTTCTGTAAAACAAGATGGCCCAATCAGATTACTGTTTGTTTCCACTGTTGTAAATCATTATTTACCAAGATTAATATTACCTTTACAACAAACCAACTTCTACATTTCATGCATAAATTATAAATTGCCTGTAAGCGCTTTACATAACATCCACCCATTCACTCATACACTGATGAAGGCAAGCTACATTGTAGCCACAGCTGCCCTGGGGCTCACTGACAGAAGTGAGGCTGCCGTACACTGGCGCCACCAGTCCGTCCGAACACCATCAGTAGGTATGCAGGTGACGTCTCTTACCCAAGGACACAACGACACCGAAGGCCTGAGCCAGGGCTTGAACCGACAACTCTGTTTGCAAGGCAAACACTTGCATCCAGTGCCACTGCTGAATAAGGAGAAGTTATAACATGTATTAAGTCCACAGAAAAACATTTACTAAGTGAAGCTACTGCACTCAAAGTGTGATTATATGCATTTATATCTGTTTTTTAATTCACATTTGGTCTTCATTTAAGTTTGTTTGTAATCTCAACAACTGCATTAAAACTAAACCAAGAATTAAGAACCCTGCATGAAAACGGAGGAATACTATAGGAAAACTAACATTTTATACAATGCTTAGGAATGGATTGGCATGTCACATAATACAGGTGATGACAGCAGAATACGATACTTGGAGGGAAAAAATACTCTAAATACAACCTCACCAGTGTGTATTTTTAAAACATCTTTTCTTAGTTACTGTTAAAGCAGCACAAAGTAATTTTTGAGTGGTGCTCTCCCTAGAGGACCTTGTTGTGAAAACTTACAGCTTTCTGTGAGTTGCACCTCACAGCTACAGCGCTTACTCTTCAGCCGCTGGAAGATGCAAATAATGACCACAGTTCTGAAGAGATGGGTAGTATTTTACCTTTTCTAATAGAAGCTATTGCATAGCAGCCAAAATAAAAAACTGATCTATATTCACCTGGGCGTACCAAGCGTGGGCTTAATGAAGCCAGTGGCTTTATTTCAGGTTGCATAAAGCTGTTTTACTGCAAGAGAGTAGAAAGCTGCAAACTGCTATCTGGGTCAGAGGAACAGGAAGTTGTTAGTGGTTTTCACACAAGAGCTATTAGGGGGAGATGAGAGTTTACCATCACAGAGACATTTAAGAGGATTTGTTAGGGGTAAAAAAAAGTTATTTATTGCTGCTTCAGAAATATCTGAGTGGGGCAGGTTTACCCTTGACAACATCTACAGGAGTCCTTATTGAGGTCTGACTTCTGTGCAGCTTTTAATGTGCAATCTGAGCATGCTGCTTGGAGCTCCACACCGCATCAGAGGTCTGCAGCCGAATGCAGTCAGGGGGGTATTCTTTATTATTGCCTTAAAAATACCCTAAAAATGACCATTTTGATAAATTTGTGGATTGGGAGATAAATGTTGCTACCAAAATAAAAAAACAAAACATTTTAAGCATTATTCTCAATAATAACCCTCTGATGTACAGTCTTAGTTTAAAAGGTCTTCCAATTTCGAATCACTTCTGTTTTATACATTTACTTAATTTATTATGGTGTTACAAAAGCAACACATTTTTCAAACCTTCTGTTGTTTTCTTTTGATACGAAATCAAAACCAGATTTTCTGTTTGGCTTCTTTAGGACCCCTTGGGCAAAGGCTCGACAACAGTTCTTCAAAAATGGCAAAAACAAGCAATCTCTGGATGCCATAGAGAAGGCAGCCTTCTTTGTTAGCCTTGATGATACAGAGCAGCGCTACGACGCAGACAACCAGGTCAAGTCTCTGGACAGTTATGCCAAGTGCCTGCTGCATGGAAACTGCTACGACAGGTGGATGAGAACAATTAAAGATATTTTCACCAGTTTGTATCATGAGCCATTTCCAAGGATCTATTATAAACATTGTATGTCTTTTTTTCCTTTTAGATGGTTTGATAAGTCCTTTAATCTGATCATTTTCAAGAATGGGACCATGGGACTAAATGCAGAGCACTCTTGGGCTGATGCTCCAATCGTTGGCCATCTGTGGGAGGTAAATTATTAAAGTATCTCACCCCACCCATTACCTTTTTCACATTACAAACCCCCCCCCCCAAAACTATTGATTTTGTTAGGGTTAATAGACAAAGTAGTGGAGAAAAAAATCAGCGTCATTTCCAAAATGTTTTAACCCTGATTACCCTAAAATCCACTAAATAAAACAGATTTTGATTTTCACTTTCACCTTTCATGTTAACAGGTTAACAGTCCACCAGGTTGGCTCATCCTACAGAGAACTGTCCGAGCCTTAATTATAAAAAGAAAAACCACCCATAAGGCATGCTAAAATAATCTGATGGGATCCTAAAACTTGACATTGCCCCCAACAACACACAATAAATTGCATTTGCAATATAATCTACATTTTTAAGAAACACAATTTCAAAATGGCAATTTCAAAAATATATATCAAGAGTGTGACATCCTTTTTCACTCCAGCCTTTATGGTTGCAGTCATCTGCCTAAAGTAGTAATATAGACTTGCTGATAGGTTGCAGATCTGTGCATTCGAGCTAGAAAACAGCAGTAAAGGCCATTAAAACAAGGAAAACCTGAAGCTCCATCTGTTTTGTGATAATACTTTTGTTTCAAGAAAGATGAATGTGTGCAGTCTGAGGTATTAATGCACTGCTCAAAAAAATTAAAGGAACACTTTGCAAAAGCATCAGATCTCAGTGGGGGGAAGAATCCTGCTGTTTATTTATACAGATACGGACTGGGTGATGTGTTAGGAACAAAAGGATGCCTCATCAATTGATGGAAATAAAAATTATCAACCTACAGAGGGCTGAATTTAAAGACACCCCAAAAGTTACAGTGAAAAAATGATGCGGCAGGCTAGTCCATTTTGCTGAAATTTCATTGCAGCAACTTAAAATGGTATTCAGTCATTTGTACATCCCCCACTAGGTGTAAACATGCCTGACAACGTCGGGCATGCTCCTAATGAGACGACGGATGGTGTCCTGGGGTATCTCCTCCCAGATCTGAACCAGGGCATTACTGAGCTCCTGGACATTCTGAGGTGCAACCTGGCGGCATCGGATGGATTGAAACATAATGTCCCTGAGGTGTTCTATTGGATTTAGGTCAGGCGAGCATGGGGGCCAATCAGTGGTATCAATTCCTTCATCCTCCAGGACCTGCCTGCATACTCTTGCCACATGAGGCCGGGCATTGTCGTGCACCAGGAGGAACCCAGGACCCACTGTACCAGCATAGGGTCTGACAATGGGTGCAAGGATTTCATCCTGATACCTAATGGCAGTCAGGGTGCCATTGTCTAGCCTATATAGGTCAGACCCTCACTGACCCACCACCAAACCGGTTATGCTGAACGATGTTACAGACAGCATAACGTTCTCCACAGCTTCTCCAGACCCTTTCACGTATGTCACATATGCTCAGGGTGAACCTGCTCTCATCTGTGAAAAGCACAGGGTGCCAGTAGCGGACTTGCCAATTCCGGTGTTCTGTGGCAAATGCCAGTCGAGCTCCACAGTGCCGGGCAGTGAGCACAGGGCCCACCAGAGGACGCCGGGCCCTCAGGCCACCCTTATGAAGTCAGTTTCTGATTGTTTGGTCAGAGACATTCACACCAGTTGCCTGCTGGAGGTCATTTTGTAGGACTCTGGTAGTGCTCCTCCTTGCACAAAGGAGCAGATACCTGTCCTGCTAATGGGTTATAGATCTTCTATGGCCCTGTCCAGCTCTCCTGGAGTAACTGCCTGTCTCCTGGAATCTCCCCCACGCTCTTTAGATTTTGCTGGAGGCCACAGCAATCCTTCTGGCAATGGCACGTATTGATGTGCCATCCTGGAGGAGTTGGACGGCCTGTGCAACCCCTGTAGGGTCCACGTAGCACCTCATGCTAACATAGGGCTGGGCGATATAGAAAAAAAGCTTATCGATAAAAAAAAATGCATATTGATCGATATCGATAATTATTGAAAAGATTTGAAACCATATTTTATGTACAGCTCTGCCTGGACTTTTTATAATATTGCTAAATGATTGAATTTTAATAAAAAACACTTCGACTTCGAATTAAATCTTTATTTAACCAACTTTTTTAATCATAACAGAATTGTTTTAAAGAAAAATAACTTAAGAGACCTGAGTTATGTTATTAAATACTGACAAAGAATAAACTTAAGTGACCAGAAAAGTGACCAAAATAAATATAACAAATAAATAAATGCCCCCCCACCGCCGCCCCCGTTTCCTGCTTTAACCTGAGTTATTACTTTGAAGTTTCTGGCCCCTCAGCATTATTATCTCAATTGTTAGAACTACGTGGGAAACTGCCCAGAACTGAAAATATATATATATTTTCCCGAAGATTCCTGGGAGGAGAGCCGCGTCGGGGCCTACACAGCTCGTACTCCTGCGGCTGTGAGCGGCTGAGATGATAAAAAAAAGTTGGTTTCGTTATCAGACTGGTTTTCACTGGTTCCCGACACATTTTACAGATGACTGTGGTTTGTTTTTGGTCCGACTTGCCATGACCGAAATACTGCCAGATTGGCGAACTACAAAAACCTTTCTTTGGAATAATTTCCTCCGCCTCTCCTTGCTGCACCGCTTCATGTGCTCTGTGTTGTGGTTTGAGAGGGCGGCCCTTGGTGACGTCGTGCCTGGGTCCGCGATTGTGATTGGTTGGGAGGAAGCAGTGACTAGCATAAACCTACATGCTAGGCTACAATGAGAAGGAAGGAAAACTGCGTTTCTTTTTTATCGAACTTTTATCGACCCTCTTTTTTTCTATTGCGCCACACGTCTATCGATCGATATATATCGTTATTGAATTATCGCCCAGCCCTATGCTAACAGTAGTGACAGTGACCCTAGCCAAATGCTAAAGTGGTGAAAAAGAGTCAAAAAAGATGAGGGGAAAAAATGTCAGTGGCCTCCACCTGTAAAACCATTCCTGTTTTGATGGTCGTCTCGTTGTTGGCCCTCTAGTGCCCCTGTTGTTAATTGCATTAACACCAAAGCAGCTGAAACTGATTAACAGCCCCCTCTGCTACTTACCTGACCAAATTAATATCCCAGAAGTTTAATTAACTTGATGCTATACTCTGATTACAAAGTGTTCCTTTAATTTTTTTGAGTAGTGTATTACCATAAACTTTCAGGAATTTTCCCATTGGATTAAGTACCAGTAAAGCTCTTTAATACATAGACTTGTTTGGTAGCTGCACTTTGTTAAACAAGGATTATTTTTCAACCTAATGAGCTGTGTTTTCTTATAAAAAAAATAAAAAATGAGACATGTTCATTGAATGGTCCTTTTTTTTTTCTTTTTTTCAAAAAGACCCAAATAAAATTTAGATTTAATCATACTTAATTTGTTGAGGAAAAACTGTGTAGACATCTGATTGGACTGTGTTGGATTGATCTGTATGTGTTTTAGAAACTTAACCCAAAAGACTTGCATCAATACAAGGAGGAAAGAGGTTCTACAAAGTAGTGACACATGGGGATGTGTGCTGAATTAAAAACTCAACACCAACATTTTACAATAATTTTGATACTGCGTCTCAATTTTTGGCACAGCTCACATTGTGCTTTACTCTGTGTTGGTGTTCAATAAAAAATCCCAATTACTTTAATTGTGTGGTTTACTCAACCTATCCCAATATTTACACATGAAACACAAAATGAATAAATTGATCATGTGAATCAAAACTGAAGCATGTAATTGAGTCATTGCCTCATTTTATTTTAAAACAGCAAGTACTGTACATGGATTGTAAACTGGGATATACTGAGGATGGCCACTGCCATGGGAAGCCTCATCCCAATTTGCCTGGTCCCCAGAAGCTACAGTGGGACATCCCAACTGAGGTTATTTCTTATTTCAATATTTCAAAATTGACATACTCTGTATTCTCAGCACATACACTTCCCTATAAAACACTTGTCTTTGTTGCATCATGTAGTGTCAGGAGGTTATTGAGAGCTCACTGACAGTAGCCAGGGCTCTGGCAGACGATGTGGACTGCCACATAATCCCCTTCGATGACTTTGGAAAGGGGTTGATCAAGAAGTGCCGCACCAGTCCAGATGCCTTTATCCAGATCGCCCTGCAGCTGGCCCATTACAGAGTAAGTAACAGTTCAGCTCGTTATTTATACTTAGTTGGGATTTAACAATTTAATGGGGCTGCTCAGTGGAGCAGTGGGTAGCACTGCTGCCTTGCAGAAGGTTCTGAGTTCGATTCCCGGCCCGGGGTGTTTCTGCATGGAGTTTGCATTTTCTCCCTGAGCATTCGTGGGTTCTCCCCGGGTACTCCGGCTTCCTCCCACTGTCCAAAAACATGACTGTTAGGTTAATTGGCTTATCTAGATTCTCTTTAGGTGTGAGTGTGTGCATGAATGGTTGTATGTCCTGTTTGACTCTTGTGTTGCCCTGCGATGGACTGGCAACCCGTCCAGGGTGTACCCCGCCTCTCGCCCATAGACAGCTGGAGATAGGCACCAGCACCCCTGGCGACCCCAATTGGGACAAGTGTGTCAGATAATGGATGGATGGATGAATGTACTAAAAATGTAAAATTTTAGGATTTCAGGATTTTAGTCAGAACCGTTTACAGATATGGGTGCAACCTGAACTTGGCACCACCAGAGGGCGCCCACAACCAGGAAAAGGAAAACACTGAAACAAAAAAAAACAAAAAAATGTTGGCTTGTGTTACAGTTGGATTTTTTCTGTTAGTACTGTAGTATAAAGAACTTGTGAAGGTTCATTTGGTGCTCAGAAATGAAAAACTATTCAATGGTGGTGCATTACTATGGAATACATAAAAGTATGGTGCCTGCTCAAACACTCCTGTTGGGTAATTTACAAATAACCATCAGTCATGTTGGGAAATTCACTCTAGATCATGTTGTTTCTAAACAGAACAAAGGGAAGTTCTGCCTGACTTATGAGGCGTCCATGACGCGGCTCTTCCGTGAGGGTCGAACAGAAACTGTACGTTCCTGCACCGTGGAGACTTGTGACTTTGTTCGTGCCATGATCAGAGACGAAACGGTGAGTCTTACCAACCCGCTTATAAGCTTTTCATAGTGCTACAAAGTGGGAATTGTTTGCAATAAGCACATTATAATCTGTTTCGTTTCTGTTTAACCCCAAATTGTGCAGAGAGAAGAGCGCCTTAGATTGCTCAAAGTGGCGGCAGAGAAACACCAAAGCTTGTACCGCTTGGCGATGACGGGTCAGGGCATCGATCGCCACCTTTTCTGTCTCTATGTGGTCTCTAAGTACCTGGGAGAGGAATCAGCCTTCCTCAAGGAGGTATTGGCACTTTTTAAACAGTTTTCTTATGAAATAAAAGTAACATTTTTGCCACTTTGAAGGAAAATGTGTGTTTTGTTGCTTTTTGAATTAAATGTGGTACCTTGATGCATAGGTGTTGTCTGAGCCATGGAGGTTGTCCACCAGTCAGACCCCGCTGCAGCAGATTGAGTTGTTTGATCTGGTCAGACATCCAGAGTTGGCATCCTCCGGAGGTGGATTCGGTCCAGTAAGTTCAATTCTTATTGTTTTAGGAAAGTCCTATTTAACATTTGAGGTGATGGTAAAACGTGAACCTCAATTACATGTTATTTGTTTTACTGTTTCAAAGTTTTCATACCCCTTAAATCTTTTCACATTTTTTCATGTTACAATAAGCTTTAAAGCATTTATCATTTTTTGACATATGGACGATGCTTTGATCTAAACACTGGAGTTCTGGTTCAGTGTTTATGGTTATAGATGTTCTGGATGGAAGAGCTGCAAGAAGCCCAAGTTCACTTATGCTTTTCTGTCAACAATAATTTTCATCTTGTCAGTTTTCTGTAAACTTTAGATCTGTAGCAACTTGTAGCTCTTTGCACAGACTATCTTCTAAGCTGAGGATCTCTGTAGCTTCTCTGATGAATGCAGGTCCTCTGTGCTTTTTTTAATGTTTGATTTTGAATGCAAAATGTTTAATTTGCCTTTAAAGTGGCTAAACAGGAAAAAAAATGAATTATTTCAATAGTGAACTTGTACCTCAATACCACGGGAGACTCAGATTTTCTTTTTTTCTCTTCAGGTGGCTGACGATGGGTATGGTGTCTCCTACATCATTCTTGGGGACGACCTCATCAACTTCCATATCTCCAGCAAATACTCAAGCCCAGAAACTGTAAGCTTTCTATTTTTTGTTGTTTTTGTATTCTTTTGTAGTTTATTGTTCTTACAAAGATTCTAAAGGGAAAATCACATGTTATACGTATACACACTTAGTATTTCTGTGTGTATATGTATTATGTATTATGTATTATGTACCGTATTTTCCAGACTTTTTATTTTCCCCCACTCTTTCAACCATGCGGTGGAGGTTTTCTCTAGATTTTTCCTTACTGCCAGAGGGAGAAGACAAGGTTGGAAATGAACGAAGAAGGGTCTAATTAATTTTTTTTTTTCTTCAAAAAACTTAGTGGGTGCGGCTTATAGTGTACAGTGTAAACCACTCTGTAGTCTGGAAAATACGGTATATGCAATTGTGACAATAACCTTTCCAGTTTTAATGTTCTAGGAATGTTCTTTCTTAAAAAATATTGTCCTTCCTGTTTTTTTTTTAGGACTCCCGTCGTTTTGGGGAAAACATTAGACAGGCCATGTTGGAAATGCTGGCTCTCTTCCAGCTTGAGAAGAAAGAGTCAAAGTGATGACTCTCACCTGTTTTATTTTTCTGTTTTTTATTTTTCCTTTTCTTTCTGGTGGAATAAAAAAAAAAGAGGAAAAAAAAGGATCAAATCTTCCTTTAAATTGTGCAGAATCTTTCGAAGAATCTGGGGTTATTTCTAAGTTAATTAATGTTACATGACTAAGGAAGGCATTTAGACGTGTCACTGTTGATATGTTTGGAAAGAGATTTGTGTATACAGTCTGAGTGAGGTGAGCCTCCAGCACAGTTGGTGCGTAGATCAAAGTATTTATTTGCAAAAATGTAACTTTAGCGGTGCCTTAGCGACACACTAATGTGAAGAAAAAAAAAGTAAGTAATGCAGAAAAGTGAAGAGAACATCTGGGAACAAATGTGTGCTGTAAAACACTGAATGTTGTTTTAGCTGAAGACTTCAATAGCATCAATACATTTTAGAGGAGTTTTTGTTTTTAGTCCTATGATGGTGCAATACTTTTAAAAGCTTCCATCCTGAGCGTATGGTTCATTGTTTCTTTTGTGCTTCCTTCTGTTGCAGCTCTAGTCTCACTATAACTGACCCAAATGGCAAACATGAGGTGAAATATCAGCTTGTTTTTAGGTTACATTGCGTCCACCTATTTCAAAGGATTCAGCTGAAATGGAGGCAGATTCCCTCAAATAATTGTGATAAAACTGTATCTATAAACACAAAAATCCTAGATATGAAGCTTTGATCTGTTATGAGCCTCAGTGTTGGTGTGATTCTAAACGCAGTGTAATACAGAAAGCTGGTACCACTGTCTAATCTCAATAGCCTCTCTGATGCATCTGTACAGTCTGTTTGTTCAGTTTTAGCTGCTATGATTTTTATAAGGTTGCCTCTTAGGCAGCTGTTATGTGTCTAATTTTAGTACTCAGGTTTTGTTAACTTGGCCTGTTTAAAGGTGCTTTCAGAAGCATCCACTCTGGTTGGTACAGTGAATAATTGAATGCAGTAGAAGAATAACCATGTGAGGTTTGTAGGTGATTTAATTTAAAGTTTTTTAGTGCAAAGTTGAATGACACGAGCCGGACATCTGGCGTAATTCACAGGAACTTTATTAAAGAGAAAATATTCTTTGAGATAACCTGGAAACTTTTATAAGGGATGTGTTGGTGTGCTGGTTACAGCATGGTGGTGGTGTAGCTCTTATCGCCAAGGCGAGACGTCTATCAGAATCATAACAACTTGATCGTCTCCAGAACTAGGAAACTGAAGTTTCTTTTGAAGAAACTTTCATCATTCTTTTATTTATACCTTTTCAATCGATTATGTTTTTTTCTTTTCTTTTTTTTTACTTTTTTGATTTACAAACATGCATATCTACTGGTTGAATGTGGTGAATGATAAGCACTAAGTTAAAGCTTGTTTTGATTTATGAAGTGAAACATGGCATTTTTGTTATCACACTTTGCCAGTATGTTGTAGTTTGACTTTTTATGTCAGTAGACCTCATGTTTACACTGCTGCATGTTATTTGAAAATGAAGCTGTACATGTTTGCCTTTAATTTAAGGTTGTGTAAAAAAAATAAAATGACAAGCAGCTGATATACCAAACAAAGTTTAACAATAAAGTGAATGTCAGACAGCTGTATTGGTCTCATTTTGAGTCTTATTTCTTATTTATTAATGAACTCTATTGTTAAACCCATAGCTGTTACATTTACGGTTTAATCTTTAAATCTATACTTCAGGATAGATCTTAAATAGGTGGTATTTAATAATTCAACCTATGGCAGAAATATGTCAAATTCAACTTGTTTGTTTATAACCAATATTGTGCTAATTATTTTAGTTTTCTTTTAGTTTCTGGGCTTGAGTATTATAGCTCTTTGCATGAACTACCTCACATAAGTCAGTATTTAATGCAATTAGAGTAAACTGCAATTATAATATGTTGCACAGCCCTAATTCCACCTAAGGTGAAAGGGGTTGTGTTTTACGAGTCAGTAGAGTTACACTTGTATTAAATTAATGTTTTTGTTTTTTATATTTGAGTTGTTTAAGGATGGCAGAAATCTCCTCTGCTGCTTGCATTCTCTTAGGGATGAACCTAGTCCGTTTTAATGGATTTAAACAGTTCAGACTGCTGTCTACTGAAGGTAAAAGCCTAAGTGCTAATAACGCTGCAGAGGTTTTCTTTTTAAAACAACCTTTTAGTGTTTGGTTCATATATTTTGTTATATTTTGCTTTGGGTGGGTAATTGCAAGCTTATTTAAATTTCTAACAATTCAGTGACCTCTTGAAATCATTGCTATGTGAAAATAAGATCTTTCCATTGACAGCACAGTGTTTATTTAATTACGGGAAACAACCTGAGAGCATTACATTGACAGATGGACAGGTGGCTGGGCTCATGTGGATGGCACCCAGGAGTAAAGCCCGGCTTTAGATGTATTAATTATTTCCATGTCTTATCATGATTCGCATCCATTCAGCTCAAAATGACTGAAAAGCTTTTTAAAGTGAGAGAAAAAAACCCCCCCGACAAACTTCTTACGTTACTGAATTTCTCTTTTAACCTCAGACACACCTTGATAATGGTACCTCCTCCACCTTGCTGTCACCCCTCCCTCAGTTCCGACACGAGGCTAATATTTCCACCCTGCTTTCCCAAGGTCTTCTTACAGCTTAGTGTGGGAATACACATGGTCAAATAAGAAAAAAAAAAATACAAGATTTGGAGTCATCTTTAACATGAATTGTAGTTTTAATATAAAAATGCTTACTTAAGCTCATATGTATTTAGGAAAAACAGTGGGAGCATTCAACTATTGATGTGAATAACATAAAAAATAACAATGGAAAAAAAAACAGAAACACTTTGAAGGCTGCTCTGTACAGAATCTTTTAAATTAAATCTTATATCTAATTGGTAAACTCGAGAAGCCAATCGTTCAGGAGGAGACTCTGAAACCTAAAACCTTGACTTGCACTTTCTAAAAGTAGACTTTGGAGAGATCTGCAGCCTCTGCTTGTCACTGCTTTAATTCATGTGCCTCCTGCTCCACAACACAGTCAAAGAAAAGCTTAGAGCCAATGTGGACTATCTAGTTTTATGAGCTTTTCATGCACTGGTCCGACAACTTTATTCCATTTTGTCACTGATATTAGTTAATAGATGTGAACAACATAGTTTGAATTACTGCTACTGTGTGTAGTTTACTTGTTCCATTCTTGAATTGGGTGTTTCTCTGGCAGGGATTTTTTTATTTTTCTTCCATTGTTAGGTTAATTAATTGGGTTGAACATTTTTTATTCAGAACTTTTGTATTCTGCTGCCAACAGTTAGTTTAAGAGTGGATGCCTTTACCACAGCGTTTCTGGAAAAAGGTATTGTAGGAATTAACTGTAAAGTAGAATTCACAGTATAAGCTTCAAACAGACCAATTGGTAATAAACACTATGGGGAAAGAAATCTACAATATGAATTATAAAAGAAACTTCACCATGAATGGAAATATCAGGATCAAGGCAACTTTAGGTTTTACCCTCTTAAAGATTCTCCCACACTGTAACTTCAGCTCACAAACTACCAAGCCAGACCAGCATGTCCTGAGAACTGTATCTGGCTGAGAACTGCACTCTGATTTTAAGAAGAGCCCAATGAATCTTAAGCGATTAAGTCAAGCGTGTAAATGGAGAGGGGGAGCTCGGTGGCTGGCGTTGAGGAACCCTGCAAGTCTGCGACCAGCTGCACCTGTCTAACTGCACCAAAAGAGCAGGGTCTGAATGGGGCCCCAAGGTGGAGCTTGGCCAAGTGACTGTGGGAGAAAGAAGAAGGTAAGGAGGGGAGGCTGACCGACAGCAAGGCTGAATGTGAACCTCTGAAGATCTCTCGCACAGCAGCTCCCTAAACCTATAAATAACTTTTAGGAGGTTTAAGAGGTATTAATGTAGATGTTGGTCACCTTGAGTAATGCTACCTATAAACTACAGAAAGCTGAACTCAGCAGAGGTGAAACATGGCACTTATTTTGTTGTCTGTCTTTTATAAAAGCCTGGATGATACTAATATATTATTTTTTTGTCTGTCAGGTTCTAACATTCTTATATGTCAGTCAACTTATCAAAGTTGCAGAAACTTTTGTCAGTTTTTTTTTATTTTTTCTATTTTTGACCTTTTTAGTTAGTTAGAGATCTTTGTCCATTACTGGTTATGCCATAAAGCTGACCTGCCTCTTGTAGCAAAATAAATAAATAAATGGCTGCCATTTTCAAAGGTGGCTTCATGTATCAGCAGCATGTTTTTAATATCCGATTTCATATCAATGAACCACTGTATACTTACTGAAGGGAGAGCAATACTTTGTGATCTCTATTCTTCTATGAGAAACGACAGGTATTTTCTAAAAACGTCATATTTCAAATTTTGCTACAGATTTTCAGTCTAAATAACAACATGACATGTATTAAACAGATTTCATGACTTGATATCTTTTTAATACAGTTACTAAACCCACCCAGAGCCATAGCTCTGTTGAACTGTCCATCCCACCTTAGCAGTAATGATTTTATAGGATTCTTTATAAATAGGATTGATTCTATTAAAAATAAGATCATTAGCACCCCCCTAACTATCATTATTTTATGTCTGGAAGGTGAGGCCATACCTGAGGTAATCATAGAATCTGAACCGTGTTTAGACTGCTTTTGAAATTTCAGAGTTAGCAAAACTATCTCCATCTAAGCCTTCAACTTGTATGTTAGATCCATTTGATATTGTTTAAGGAGATATTCCCTCCTCCTCCATTTTAGATGTGATTAATCTATCTCTGTTACAGGGGATATGTACCAAAGGGTTTTAAAGTTGCTGTGATTAAACCTTATTTAGGAAACCATCTTTTCACCCAGATGACTTGGTCAATTATAGACCTATATCCAATCTTCCTTTCTTATCTCTTAAGATTCTTGAAAAAGTAGTCTTACACCATAATGCACTTTTTGAAAAGTTTCAGTCTGACTTTAGAGCTTATCATAGCACTGAAACAGCTCTGGTGAAGGTTGCTTATGATATTCTCATGGCCTTAGATAATGGACTTGTATCTGTGCTCGGCCTTTTAGATTTCAGTGCTGCATTTAAAACAGTTGACCATAATATTCTTATAGAAAGACTTGAATATTTTGTAGGAATTAAAGAATCAGCACAAGACTGGTTTAAATCATATCTGTCTGACCGATGTCAGTTTGTTCACGTTAATGATAAATCTTCCTTATGCTGGAGTACCACAGTGATGGGTGATAGGACCAATTCTCTTTACTATATATATGCTCCCAATTGGTACAATTATTAGACAGCATGGGATTAATCTCCACTGTTATGCTGATGATACTCAGCTATATCTGTCTATAAATCCAGATGAAGCTAACCCATTATAGATTACAGGCATGTCTTGGAGACATAAAAACATGGATGACTCTTAACTTTCTGCACTTGAATAAAGACAAGATATGAGTTATTGTCTTTGGACCAAACTCTTTGAAATAGAAGCTTATTAGTCAGTCACTTCATTTGGATGGGATTAAATTTATCTCAGAAAATAAAGTAAAAAATAATATTGCAAAAATTAAAAATATTCTGTCCAGTGGTGATGCGGAGAAACTAGTCCATGCATTTGTCACTTCAAGGCTGGACTATTGTTATTATTTACTATCAGGAAGTCCACAAACTGTAGTTAAAAGCCTTCAGTTGAACCAAAATGCTGCAGCCAGAGTTCTTTAAAAAAGAAATCAAACTTCTCCTATCCTAGCTTTTCTTCATTGGCTTTCTGTTAAATCCAGAATAGAATTTAAAATCTTCCTTCTCACATATAAAGCCTTAAATGGCCAAGCTCCATCTTATTTTAGAGATCTGATTGTTCCTTATGTTGCCAACAGAGCACTTCGCTCTCAATCTGCAGGTTTACTAGTGTTTCCAAGAATTTTAAAAGTAGAATGGGAGGCAGATCTTTTAGTTATCAGGCTCCTCTCCTGTGGAACCAACTACCAGTTTTAGTTCATGAGGCAGACACCCTGTCTACTTTTAAGGGTAGGTTTAAAACTTTTCTTTTTGATAAAGCTTATAGTTAGGGTGGCTCAGGTTATCCTGAGCTATCTCTATTGTTATGCTGCTATAGGCTTAGACTGCTGGAGGACATAGGGACCCCTATTTATCATTTGGCTGCATTCTTTCTCTATTCTCCCATTCCGCAGAATGTGTTAGTTAAATCTGTAATGTTATGTTCTCTGCTTTTCTCATAGTAGCTTCATCTGGTCTATTCCTTGTTTGGCTGTCACTGTGTTTGAGAAGGGAAGGATATTCTGTACAATTCTCCAAGATGATCGGGTGGATCACAAAGTGGCACCTTCCTCCCATGTCAAGCTTTCAGCTTCTGAGGTGACAGTAAGATAAGATCCGCATTCAGCCTCGTCTAGCAGGTGCTCTGTTTGCGTGAATACTTTTAAAAGTTAGAACATAAAGATCAGCACTTACAGTATCATCACAGCCATATTTTTTTCTAAAGTATAAATTTCATTATAGAAAAAATTCAAAAAGGACATCTGGTTTGCTTTATTTTTGGATTCAATCTCCTGTGGACATGTCTCTCCACCTGAGCAGTGACTCTGTTATTCTACCAAAGCCTTTTTTCTTTTTTCCCCCTGGCTAGATGGCTTGGGCTGAGATCCAAAAGTTATTCCATTTACAATTGCGTGTTGTAAACAACCATATTTTCATAAGAAAAGTTGCCTATGAGGTGATGTTAAATTACTGTCAGGTCTTTAAACAAGGTGGCATATAACAAGGTTTATTTAAGAGCAGAAAGTTGAAAAGAAAAAGGTGAAATAACAGCAATAAAAAAGTGAGACTACAATTGGAATCTTGCACAGCAGAAAAGAGCCTTTAAAATATGGCAATGAAGAATTGAATAAAAGGGCAAAAGGTTCCCTGGTCCCTAATGAAGGCTACAGATTGTTATAAAATTGTTTATGCCATGTGAAAGACATTTAGGTTGCTATTATCCAATAAATGTCGGCATTAAAGAATTTTCTGACCCCAATGTGAAACATGAATTTGATAAACGGAAGACCTGAAGTAAGAAAATGTAAACTTTATTGCATCAATTTTCTACAGAAAAACAGAAAAAAAAACACATTATGCAATGGCACAGTCTTTGTACTCTCCTTGCTAATACTGCAATAATCCAGAAGCATGAATTTGTGTTATTTTATAAAGTTGGCACATTATCAAGGCATCTGGTTCGATCCATTTGTTGATGAAAGGAATAATGCATAAAAGCTTTTCCTGCGACACATGTTTGAAAGGAGAAAGAAAACATTCTTTTAACAAACTCTCATAGGAACTAGAAGAACTGCTCACCAGAAGGGCTGTGGAAAATCCGTGTGCACATTGTACATTCTGCTCTTTGAGAGATTAAGACATCAGTGTGATCACAACATGCTTCGCTGCACTAAGACATTTGGTGAACTGATAAACTTCAGTAGACCTGAGTGTATTAGCTGATACAGTTTTGTTCAGTAAAATTGAAACATAATGTCTGTTATATTACTGCGTGCCAGATAAGATTGTTTTTTGCAGAGTGCAAATCAAAGTTAGCCAAAATCTCTATCATAACCATGTAAAAATATACATTAATCCATACCAAGATACAAAAAAGGTATTTTAAGAGTAGATATAAATCTAACCAGAGCACTAATTGTGAATAAAACACTAAACCAAAGAAGGTAACGGATGTAAATGCAGCCTATCAACCATAACCTTGGCATGTAAGGTCAAGATAAACAACGAGAACAAAATCACAGAGGCTACATTTGATGTAAAGGATCCTATCAACCAATTTCAAAAGATATCAACCCAATATTCTACTTCTAACAAAAATAATACACATTCTTAATTCAGCAGTGGCTTTCAAAAGTGAAAACTATACCATGATATCATTTCTAAACCTTTTTCTACCAGTAATGGAACAAATATCCTTAACAATTCAACAGAAACAAATGCTTTCATGTTTAAAAAGAGATAGTGCTGTAAGTTGGTTTTATAAGCACTTCATTAGCCATAAATGAACAGTTTTTATTTCAGTTTGAGCCTTCAGTCCTTTTAGGAAGGTATCTAACAGGATGCCACTTTATGACGTAACTACTAATTAAGCACTGATTATATTTAACTTCTCACTGATGACAGTCAGCGGGATTAGGAAAACGATGAGTGTGGAATCATCTGTCCAGGTATAGCGATCCTCCACTGAGCGAGCTGGCTGCACGCACAGTTAGAACTGATATACCCCAAAATGACTACTATTATTATTGAGCAACAGGACAGACATCAGAAAAGCAAAACTCTCACCTAAAAACATGATAAAAGTGTAATAATTTCATTTCTTTGCTGCTCTCTTCCATTGGAGCCACATTTGTTTGACAATTCAATTCAACCCACATCCTGAGCAGTTTCAGGGAAATGTGAAAGTCCTTCCGTATCCAAATAGAATTGTGCTGGAACACCAAAATGGTAATGGTATTGATTATTACCCTCTCTGCATTGCTAATGATCATTCAGACTGTTAAGACACCCTTGGAGTGACAAAACAAAGTTTAATTTCCGATTGATAAATTAGTCCTATATCATTTTTTTCATCTCATTTGGTTATTTTTTGTTGATTTCTAAGTATGCCTGGGCTCACTATTTAACACAAAAATAAAAGACTTCCTGATATTCAACTATGTGGACAGCAACTAAAGATGTGGGATTAAAACTGCCTGATATTTCAGAATTTCACCCACCAGACCATCATGCTGCCAACACCATGCTTCGATGTTTATGTGTCATTGTTTGTGCTAATTTAACTTCTATTTTTCAAATGTATTAATTTTCGTCTGATCTCTTTACGAAATTTGTGATGAAGGTCCTGTTTTAGTGATCTCATCCTTGTCCCATATTCTCTCTAATCACTGATGACTGTCTTTACTGTGCATTGTTACGTACATTGTGACTTAACCTGACTGACACCCTTGTGAAACGACATAACTTTAATTCTTTAAAACCTTCTCTGCAAACATAAGCATTAGACTACAAATGAAAAAATAGTCATACATTTCTCTATAATGGATAGCAGGTCAGCACCCATTAAGACTGAATTCTGGAATTGAATTAAAAGTGTTAGTATATATGGTTGTACTTTAATGATTGTCACATAAAAGGCAGAAAAATAAGATTACAATTAATTATCTTACATTTTTTTACATGTTTTATCACAGAAAAAAAAAAGAATGAATTTGAGCTTTTAATATCTGTTGTGGTTTAAAAAAACTAACAAATAATGAAGTTCTAATCAAATGCATAGTTTTATACTTTAATCTAGCTCTTATAAAAGAGCATTTAGTTAAAAAAATCTGTCAGACCAAAAAAAAGGGGAACATCCTAAAACAGTACGTTAATTAGGTCAAACGTGATCTAAATGTAGAAATAGGCACAATTAAAACAGTGGCTTGGCATCAAGTATATGGGAATACAGTACTAAGGATTTCCAACAGAGATGTATTCACTTAGTTAAACTGTTCACAGAAAAAATGCTAGTTGATGATGGACTGTTGTGTCAAGCAACTTTACAGAGCAGTGAACATCTATATTCTGAGGTACATTCATAGAACACCAGCCCTTCAGCTCTTTAGGTTCAAGTAAAAGCCTTATTTTCCAATGATTGAGCAACTCCTTCAATACCACAGTGCTAATGTACAATTTTGTAGCTTGTTTGCGTGATCCAATTTTGTCTTACTAAGCAGTTCCCTTGAAAAGAGCTCTTTCAAAAAGTTTTCCTGTAATTTTCCATTTCTTCATTTGGTCTTCTTGAGAGATTCTTTTAAGCCAACAATGCTTTGTTCCTCTTTATGAAGACGGCCAGCAGCAACTAAAAGTTTAAAGTCTGTTGAAAGGCAGTACGTAAACACACGGATCTCTCAGGAACTATACACAGAAGAAATATTATTGAATAAAAAAATATAAGCCCGGAAAATCAGCCAGGAGGTAAAACTGATTAGTATTAAAAAGAGGAAAAAAAGTGTCACAAAGACAAAAAAATGCAACAATTACAAACTTTAAAGTGCAAGTATAAGAAAAAAAAAGTCTCTCTAAATATCTCAAGTCAAACGTCGAGACATTGTCAATGGTCTGTAGTGGAAAAGTGCAAGTTGAGATCAGAACACTTTCAGAAGTATATTTTTAAGAATTTGATTTGAAACAGTAACAGTCAGTCGACTAAGTGGATTAGTCAGGACTCAGCTTCTCCGTAAGAATACAGCTACCTCCTCCAGAGGTACAGGGTAATCCTGCAGAAACGTCCCGCCATCAAACACCTGCTCACTCTGGCTGTCCTGCCACTGGAAGTCCCCATCTGGTAAATAAATATCCCTCTGGACTGCCCCCTTCTCCACCACTGGTGCCACCAGGACCTGAAAACACAAGAGTTCAAACTAGTTAATTTTACCAAAACTGGTCAGGTTGCCAACTGTAAGTAGCCTGGGTGCCATTCCGAACTTAGTCCCGCCCACAAAGTTTGAGATCGGGAAGTTCGGTCTGGCTCTGCTCCATAGTAGCGCGAGTATTATCGCCCACTGTCAGGCGATCCAATCAAATTGTCAGGGCGGGCTTTATACGATGATGGACAGATGACCAACAGTAACGTAATCAACCACGTGACCAATGCGCGCTTGGGTGACAACAATAATGGCTGCCGCTGGAGAGTTTAGGTGAGTAGATTCTGCTATTAGGTCTGTTCTAGAAGATATCGACAGCAAATTAATTTTAAAAGAGGAACAGAGAAACGCGATCAAGTCTCATCTTCTTATTCTAGGCGTGCAACTGCACGCTTTGATTTTTGTGGACAACTATGCATCGCTTAACATACGTCACGCACTCCGTTGCTCTTATTGGTTGTAGGTCTATCCAATTGAGTGCAGAGGCATTTTTTTTCCTGGTTCGTTCGAAACATACCCCATAATCACAGCTCTATGGAGCAGTATCAGACTCATATTCTGACTAGAATTGAGTCGGACTATGTCAGGCTAAACTGGAAGCTGGTTTTAGGGGCAAAAAAAAGAAAATCACCAGTCACCTCGTCTCCAATGAGGAACTGGTCGTCAGTGGTGAAAGTCATGGGGTCGCTGGGACTGAGCCACCACATGGGTCTGTAGATGGGGTTTCCCGTCTGCTGCCACTCCTCAGCATACTTCTCTATCAGTGGAACCACCTCCCTTTGGTGCTTTGTGATATAAACCTGGGTCAGGTTTAACACCTGGAGGGTTGAGACAGACAACAAACTATATTGCATTTCTTTAGGTGGTAAGTTATTGGGTGGTAGGCCAACATGTGGTATAATTGTGAAGTATATGGAAATTATTCATATTCAGAATGTGCGATCTGCGCTCTTAATTAGCTCCTTTACTTGCTCAAAGCTCTGTTCTATTAAAGGAAAATATTAAAAACTTTGGTTCTAACTCAAGCCCAACAAGACAGGTTACCAACTAAACTATAGGCAAAGGGAGCATCTGGTGGAGTTGAACAAATCCACAATGAGGTGAGTAGTAACCTGGCGGTTGGAGAGTAGGGGTGAGTATTGGCATGGGTCTTGTGATATGGTATGTGTCACGATACTTGGGTCACAATCTGATATTATTTTGATTCTATAAAAATTTAATGTATAGATAAAAAAGCGAGCGCTGCATATGTTCATCAGTATCCAAGTTTTTTGGGGATCGAGTAAGTCCGCGTCTTCTGCTGTGAGTGCCTCATCTACAGAAATGGTGCTACGTTGCCCAGCAAAGGGCTCCACAGCGCTATCTGCTTGAGTGCCAATGCAGAGATACCGCATTTTCCCTCATTGATATGGGTAAAATGTTGTTTTTTTTAAAGAATTGATATTATGAACTGAAAGACTGATATTAGCTGAAAATCACGGCATATCACCAAAACAATTTTTTCCCCCTACACCCCTATTGGAGAGCACGGTTTTTTCATCCTCGAGAGGAATTTGGAATTTGGCTTATTGAAACTCAGACTGTCTTTTAGCAAGGCAATTTGCTACATTATTCAGTGTTTCAGTTCATAGCTCCTTAAGGGATGAATTTAATGCTGAGGACCAATTTCACCACCGTGGGACTATAAAGGGATCTTTCCATGGTGTGAGAATCTGTGCACAGGAAAACTGTTATTTGGCCCTTCTAGAAATCTGTTTTATGACTTAAGCCACGAGAGGGGATACATACATGTGGAAAAAGGTGCTCTGCTCAGATGAGACAAAAATGGAAAAATGGGAAAAAAAATTTTTAGTGGTATGAATCTTTTAGCGGGATCCTGTGCCTGGTATGTGCCTCTTTATCAGTGCAGCAGTTTGCTTTAGCCTTATAGTGGCTCCACTGTCCAAGCATTTCTCTGGACTTCCTTCAGCCAAACGACTGTAACATTCCTAAAAGGGTCACATCCTCCTCAGTGTCCCGTGACTAAAACCTAATTTGACCACATCTATTAAAAAGAAAATGTATTTTCATGAGCTGGGGATTGGGAACATTTGGAATGAGCTTGAACCGCTGCCCAGGTTTGAGTGAATCTTGCTCTAATTGAGAATCCAGGCGTATGTGTGGCTTTGAGGTTTCTGCTGCTATGTGACTCCGCTGCAGTTGTTGCTTTGACCTGTCTGTGACTGCTTAAAGTCTCACAGATTCTGGAAACAAAGGTGCACTGAAAAGTGCAGTAAAAATGGCCATATTAAAGTTATTTACAACATGTATTTCAGCAGACTGTTGTACACCAAACGTCATCTCGGTCTCGCTTCGTTCGACTTTATAAGCTGGAGGCTGAGTTACATACCAAAGTGGAAAGTTTGCTGCTGTCTAATTTCTAGCAGAACTGTCCAAAAGCTCTATTTTTATCTTTGCCACGCAACCAGCACACTTTCCTTCATCAATCCCTAAGTGCTACTGGTACCAAAAAAAGTAAGTCATTGTCTCTGATTTTATCGTAATTGTCAATCACTAATGGAAACACAGTAAATTTTTTTGTCAGAATTTACTGCGGAATGATCATTCCAGTTGAGGTGGCTCTAAAAGTGATAGCATCCATAAATTCAGAGCAGGGATTCTAATTCAGAACAGATGGACTCTTAACCACAGGTGACTATGATAAGAAAAGGCTGGAAGGATAGAGGGTGAAACGGCCATTAGCCCGGAAACAGGCTCTAAAAACAACTAAAACTAAAAGATTTTTTTTTTTTTTATGAACCTGAGCTCTTGCACTGCATGAGCAAAACGTCATGATCTGTCAGCAGAGATTGTAGGCCTTGTTTTCCTGCTGTGATCAGAGCATTTCTAGTTTTTTCTTTCCTGTGGAGAAAGATGGGATGGTGCTGCAGCAGAACTCCCGGTAAAATACCTTCTTAACTGGCTTTTTTTAAACTAGTTTGCATCATGTCCTCATTCTTTATCTGCATATATATATATATATATATATATATATATATATATATATATATATATATATATATATATATATATATATATATATATATATATATATATATATATATATATATATATATATATATATATATATATATATATATATATATATACATATGTACAGAGGATATAGGCAGCTCTTAAATAATAATTTGTATCAAAGCTGCCATTTTCCCTGTTGACAAGCAGATTTTCTACCATACATTTTCTTCCACTCAACTTTCCACTAATATGCTCTAAAACCTGCATGTTCTCCCTGAGCATGCGTGGATTCTCTCCGGGTACTCCGGCTTCCTCCCACAGTCCAAAAAACATGACTGTTAGGTTATTTGGCTTCTCTAAATTGTCCTTAGGTGTGAGTGTGTGCATGAATGGTTGTTTGTCCTGTGTGTCTCTGTGTTGCCCTGCAATGGACTGGCGACCTGTCCAGGGTGTACCCCGCCTCTCGCCCATTGACTGCTGGAGATAGGCACCAGCACCCCTCGCGACCCCACTTGGGACAAGCGTGTAAAAGAAAATGGATGGATGGATGGATGCTCTAAAACCAGTAACCTTTAGTTCTTTATCTTTCTTGTGGAGGATCAGGTCAGTAGTTTTACTCATCATCAGGGCAATACTATATTTTTAAATTAAAAAAAGGAGTTTGTTTTCTAATAATATGTTTTTAATATATCACCCTGTAATGAGTCCTTATATGATCGTTCTGTTTTTAATTGAATTACTAATATAAGTGAATATGTTACTCACTGAGTTAGACACATAAAATGCAGAAAAAAGCTATATGTGAGATTGATAAAGAGTATGGTTGGTTTATAGGTGAAAGTACCTGCTCATCGCCGTAGAACCAGGGTGGTCTATGGAAACTGATGACAGGAAGAAAGGCTGCTATCTCCAACCACCTAATAAACAGCTCCCTATCTGTGACCAGGTCTCCAGACAGAGAGCCTCCTAAGAGGAAAAAAAAAAGTGTAAGAGTTGTTACACTTAATGCAACGTAGGGCTTTTCAAAAAAAAAATATTTAGACATAATGTTATAAAAGATTTAGAACTTTAAAAAGTTGGGCTCTATCTATGAAAACAATGCCTTGCATTTTCTAATAAATAAAATACTGTTTGTAAGTTTTTTGTCAGACTAGGGGTCATCAGGGCTCACGGTCCCTCATGTTACGCATTTCTGCTCCAGCACACTTGGTCAAATCAAAGCATTATCTGGTCTGTGTTCAACCAAGTGCTGCACAATCAAGGTTTCAATAGTTTTTTTTGTTGTTTTTTTTCAGCTGATGGCTGTTTTTCCAGTTTTAAGAAAAATGTTTTTCTTTCTGCAAACACCCATCGGAGGAATTTAGAAAACGACGAAACGAGTTTGTGAATTTAATCAAAACTGGATCCCTGTCTCTGGAAGAAAGGCTGCTATCTCCAGCAGACTGGATCCCTGTCTCTGACTCCATGAAATGCAGCAAGAAACTTGGTTGTGATGATTGATGAACATTGCAGATCACGTTACCTCAGTTTCTCGATCTTGTCACCTCACACTACTAAACATAAGAAAGATCCGGCCATATCTAACCCAACATGTTACCCAGCTCCTGGTGCAGTTTATGGTTATCTCCTGCCTTGACTATTTTAACGCACTCCTGACCGGTCTACCAGCATGTACAATAAAACCGTTACCAATGATCCAGAACGTGGCGGCGTGTCTCGTTTTCAATCAGCCCCAAAAAAATCTCACATCACCCCTCTGTTAATTGAGCTTCACTGGTTATCCCTGGCTGCCCTCATCAAATTCAAGTCCCTGATGCTAGCCTACAAAGTGTTTCAAGGTACGGCATAGACATAAACAAAACTGTCATTCTTTTGTTGAGTTTTTACGGTTATTAAGAGGGTTGTTTTATTACCTACTGCATCAGGAATGAGGAAGTTATATCCCACCAAAGCATGGTGCAACAGGGAGGGAATGATTGCCCTCAAACCCATTGGACTCCAGTCAGACTGCAGGGGTGTCATCTTCACAAACAGAGGCTTGTGGCTTGACCTGCAATGTTAATAATAAACCAACCTTGAAATGAACAGTATAAATGTCATACTCTCACATAAGGAGGGTGATGCTTTACCTGGTTCCTGCAGTCATGATGGTGGAGTCTCCTATGCTGGTGGCCAAATCAGCCAGAAGTTCGATGTATTTATCTCCACTCAGAGCCAGTGGTGGTCGCAGGGCCTGATCCTCAAACAGATTCCCTTCTCCTCCCTCCAGCATGATGTACTCCATCCCTAAATGGGCCTTTAGGGACTCCACTCTGTCCAGGAACCAGCTCACAGCAGCAGGGTTTGTAAGATTCAGTTTTACGCAAAATTTTCCCCGCCACTGGCTCATCACAGGGATCTGGGTGAAATGACCACGAAAACAAGATTTTTGATCTAAGTTTATTTAATGCTACTCTAACATACATACGCTACAGCATTACATAAGATCAAAATATGACCTTAATAGATAAACTGGATTTGGTTATATTCAGTGCTTTCATTTTGAAAGTGCAGGTTTGACTGCTGTACAAGTAAACAAGGTAAACTAAATATACTGATGAAGATTCTCAGTCATCCAGGTCATAGCCATTCCGTAAAAGTTCAAAAAAAATCCACTGGACTTGGTTTCCAAGATTTGAAGACGTTTCGCCACCTCTCTTCAGGAAGCTTTCTCCATTCAAATGTTCATCTATCATTTTAATGGAGAAAGCTTCCTGGAGAGGTGGCGAAACGTCTTCAAATCTTGGAAACCAAATCCAGTGGATTTTTTTTGAACTTTTACAGAAAGATAAACTAAAGCATTCTATGTCAGATTAGTCACTTTGCAATTTAAACTACTATAATCTGCCAACAATAAAACTTATAATCAGGTATTCATGTGTAGGTTTTTAAATTTTACAGATTTCATCCAAATCAAATTGAAAAAGGGACATAAAAATGTAGTTAATATCATCAAAGTTTTCATACCAAAATAATAATACTTTTCATACCCATGGCAATTTAAGATTTAAAATATTTTCATTAAACCTAGAAGTTTGTTCCGCATTAAAAAGGAGACTGGTGTTTCCTAAAAGACTATAAAACATGTATAATGAGTGTCATTCATGTATTTCATTCAAACAGAATGTCTGAATTATTGGTACATTTATTATATTGATAAAAATAAAACCCTTTTATAATGTTGAAGGATGGCCTTCTAGGATTTTTGGAAGTCAGGCCTTCTTGTCATTATCAAATCATTACCTTCCTCCATAGATTTGTCTTTCAGATTTCACATTGTTTTTGTTTACTGACTCATTTTATTTGGGATTTATTTACCAAAAAAAAAAAAAAACAACAACCAAACAATAGAGAAACAATAGAAAATACACAAAAGAACCAAAGATTAAACCAACTGGAACAAACAATTACCGGTAATATAGTTTTCGATTAACCGTTAACTGGAGTGTAGAGACTCTAAAACCTCTAGCTCACAGAGCAACTCACTCAGAGCAGTAGTTATACCAAAATTGTAAAAAATAAAAGAAAAAAAATTGGCAATTAAAGATAAAAATAGTTTTCATCTGTCAAAATGCTTTGTCCAGAACTCCTCAAGTAGAAAAGCTTTAATTTCACAAAAAAAGTCTTCTTTAAGGAACCTTTGAGTATCCGATTATTAACAGATAGATAGATAGATAGATAGATAGATGATAGATGATAGATAGATAGATAGATAGATAGATAGATAGATAGATAGATAGATAGATAGATAGATAGATAGATAGATAGATAGATAGATAGATAGATAGATAGTGTTGTAAATGGGGCTTATTATCACACAGGATAAATGTTTCTGCTTATTGGTTCTCACCAGCTTCCCATTAGTGGCTGAAGGAAGACTGAGCCAGTAGTCCTCTGTGCCATCAGTGAGGGAGGTGTGGAACTGCTTGGTGTCCACACCAAGGAAAGGGGACAGGGTGATGGAAATGTTAAGAAGCTTGACAAGTGGGAGGTCCCTGGTCAGTCTCTTGGACATCCCCCTTTTCCTGCTGTTGAGGTAGTCATGGTCCTACAGAGAAGAACAGGGACACTGAATGATGCTTTTCCAACATGTAGCTTATCCTTTAATAACTTAAACTTTCAACATGTTTTCTCTTCGATTAGGACTTGAGATTAACTAAGTATGCAACCAAAGCTCCTAAAAATTGGAAGTGTCAGCCCAGGATATATAAGAACTGGAGGAAGAAAGGGCAAATTAGTCTTTATAGCGTAAGTCTTACATTTGCTGTGTTAATTACAAAAATGATGATTAAATTGTATATCAGGAGTAGGTAACTTTCTGCTCCAACACACCTGAAACAAAAGGCTAAATTACCTTCCTACATGTCTGCGAGTTTAGCATAGGTCTGCCCATTAACTATTCATTTTGTTTCATGTGTGTTGAAAAAGGAATCCATGCAAAAGCTGCGGGAATGTGGCCAACACCTGTTGTATAAGAAACTGTACTAGTCACTCCTGAACTAAACTTTAATACGTTTTCCATAATGAGCTGCTGGATTTTGGATTCTTTGCAGTCATATCGGAACAAGGGCTGAGGATGGCAAGATGAAGTAAACCGCAGGTTAGTATCTTTATTGGAAGGGATTCTAAAAACGTCTGGTTCATCAACTACAGATATACGGTACGTTCTACCTCCCCTTTTTGTCCTTTCAGGACAAAGGAACACAAAGCCTACAGCATGACGTATTTACAGTACAATGATGGATCCGTGAACTCCTCCTCTTTCTGCTCTGATGTGGGATCCCAGTTGGATCACAGCATCGCACTGGTGTCAGGATCAACTGCCAGAGTTGACATTGGCTTAGATCCTGTTTTAATCTCAGCACATCCAGTTCTTCGCTATCATGCAGTTACCGCACTCTTAGCAACCTGAGATCCTTCCCAGCAGGAGGCTGTTTATCTTCTCTCAGCTTTGTTTGCTTTGTAATGGAACATCACCAGGTATTGACAGGGATCCATTTTACCAGGGTGTAAGTTTCTGGACAGTTTGGGGCAACACTGACAAGATGTAACTTGACTGACATGAAACATAACATGCAATGCAAATATCACTAATGTAGTCCTAACCTTAAATTATAGTTTGGTTAAGGTTTTGACCGATAATACTGTACTTCAACATGAAAGCAGCATTTCTTTCAGTGTTGACATTTAAGTGAACCTGTTCTCCCTTTTTTGTTTCCCGCGGCTTCAGTTACGTTAGAGGTCTGCTTTAAATAATTCCATTACACGTTTACATCCCTGAACTCTAAATATCCTCACTGTTCTAAGGGTTTATTAGAAAGACGCTCAACAAAAATATAAACGCAACACTTTTGGTTTTGCTCCCATTTTTTATGAGATGAACTCAAAGATCTAAATCTTTTTCCAGATACACAATCTCACCATTTCCCTCAAATATTGCTCACAAACCAGTTAAAATCTGTGAAAGTGAGCACTTCTCCTATGGTGAGATCATCCATCCCACCTCACAGATGCACCATATCAAAATTAGACTTAAGACTTTAGACTTAGACAGTTTTTTTTTTGTCATTTTGTTTACACGAGTGTAAAACAAAAAGAAATTTTGTTTAGAACAGCTCTCTGGACAATTTCCTTTTTTTTTTAAAGTGCAGCCTTGAAAATAGTAAAAAAAAAATATATATAAACAGTAATATACACATAGGACTGTAAATTTACAGTTCTATTATTTCATTTTTTTTTTATATATATAATGATAAATGATAATAAATATAATAAAAAACAATAGAATAACCCATTTTACAAGACTTTCAGTGGTCTAATGGCAGTGGGGAAGAAACTGTTATGGAATCTGCTGGACCTGCATCCAATGCTTCGAAACCTCTTTCGAGAGGGCAGCAGGGAGAACAGTCGATAGTGGGGGTGAGAGGGGTCATTGATGATGTTACGGACTCTGGACATGCAGCGCTAGGATGAAATGTCTTTTAGGGAGGGAAGAGGAGCCCCGAAGATGCTGATTACACACCACGATTAGCGCACAGGTGTGCCCTAGACTGCCCACAATAAAAGGCCACTGTGAAAAGTTTTAGATCTTTAAAACATGTGAGCAAAACCAAAAGTGTTGCCTTTATATTTTTGTTGAGTGTATCACAAGAGCTACACTTTTTAGACAGGGGAAATCTTAAGTAACATGGAAAAAATAAAAATAAAACTAGAAGGAAAACATTTAATATTTCAATCTGGTTAAGATCAGATTTTACTGGTTTTCAAAACATGGACATTAAGGAATAGTGGAGGATTTTCACAAATTTTTGAAAGGACCCACTTTAAAAAAAATGCACGTGCAAAACCTTGTACCCGCTCCCAAGAGGGAATGCCTTTTAAAAACATGTGAGAGCGTGCACAAGCCCATTTCTCCTCGTGCACACTCTGATTAAATGTTGCTGTTTGCATCGCTCATACGAGCTTACTTTCCAAAATAAGATTTGCAATTTTTCCACTCAGACTCACCACTAGTAAGTGGAAATGCGGTCAAGCACGTAAGACGGCCTTATGTACACATATCACCATAATAATTGACGATTAGGAGGACCCCTTTTTTGATGATCCACCCGGAAAACATCTTCCACTATACCTTTAAACCAGAGGTCTTCAACAGGGGGTCCGCGACCCCTAGGGGGTCCGCGGAGATACTGCATGGGGGTCACGAAAGTCTTGGTTGATTACTTTTTTTTATATTCCCTCCTGCAATTTTTTCCACTAAATAAAATGTCTTTAAATACACATTAACATGAATTCAACGCACTGTAGGAAACAGATAAATGGAGGCAGAAGATGTCTTTCAGTCATCAATGCACACATTCAGCGACACATTATTTATCCTGCACTTGCTGCTATTGCACTTCTGGTTAGACCTAAACTGCATTTTGTTGTCTTGTACCTGTACCTGTGTAATGACAATAAAGTTGAATCTAATCTAATCTAATCTAAAAATGAAGATTTTGCAGTAACTACACAACTAAAGTTCTGAGACAGTATATGGGAACTTAAATCGTCCTTTCATCAACAGTTATTTGAAAACTATTCGATACTTGAACGCTTCAGGAGTCTAGAAAATTGGGCAGCAGGATGTGCGCAGTATGTACCATTTCTGAAAGGAGGGTGGTGGAATGTTCATTAAGGCTGATGACTCCCTCTCCCAGCTGGTGTCTCCTCAGACGATTAGAGAAGGTTCTCAGTTCTCGCTCCATTTTCGGCCCTGTGTCTACATTGGTGAGGAACTTCCAGAATGGCATCCTGTAAAATACACAGAGCCAGCCGGTTTATGACTCAAGAAGGGGAAAAAAAATCATATCTAGTTTTATCTTTATCTAAACTGAACTCACCACAACGTTTTCATGTTTGGAAGCTCCCTGCTGAACTCAGAAAGTTGTTGGACGGCTTCCTGATGAGCAGCTTTGACGTTGTGGGCCACACACACAGTATATTGGAGAGGAAGGCGCTCCATACTTGGCACAGACTTCAAGCAGAACTGCTCTCTGCTGTCCACCCCAAGCTGCAGAGGGATATCAGGGGACAGAAGCACTGTGACTCCTGCATGGTGGAAAGAAGAAAGCAATGGAGTTTATTAATTTACAGCGTCCTTATAGTCAGAAATTACTAATTATAATCCACACTCATTGTGTAAAACAAAGCAAAGGAACATGTTTTTTGTTGTTTTTGGTTGTCTAGTTTGCTTCAAACGTAAGTGAGATGGTCTGTTGCAGATTCCACATCTATGACATAATGTGCAAGTGTTAGTAAGACCTGGGTGAGTGTGGTAGATAGAAGGTTGTGGGAGGTAGAGAGTGGGCTGTGCCAGCTGATATCAGATGTAAGAAAAACACTGCCTGAGATTGGTTGTGGCAGCAGTTTGCTGCTGGAGGAGTTTGGCTGCAGGTTCCACTGCACAACTAGGACAGAAGAGTCCAGAGTCAGGTAGTTGGAAAAGTCTCTCTGCTAGTAAAAATGCACTAGTAGCCCAGCAGGAACTTGACGTTGATGTAACATTGAAGAAATGTTTGACATTGGATAACCATTAAATTATGATGTGAAAAAGATTGTTGGATTAACTTTAAATAACTTTCTCAATTGAAAATTAGCACTGAACGTTGAGTTCTCAGTGCTTGGGAGTGTTGGCCTAGTGGTTTAGAGCAGTGCGCTTGTGCTCTGAGAAGGTACCAAGTACCCGGTTAGATCCCCACAGACTGCCACGCTGGGTCCTGGAGCAAAAAACCCTTAATCCCACACTGCTCCTCGGGCGTTGCAAATGGCAGCCCACTGCTCCCTATGGGTTAAATGGGTTAAATGCAGGGAGTGAATTTTGTTGCGCTGTACTTGTGACAGTGTTATTTACAATAAAACAATGAGAAAAAAAAAGTTGAGCAGACTTTGGATATTTGTTACTAGCAGACAAAACTCAATACCAGCTAAATGACAACATTAGATTGATGATAAAAACTTAACATTCAACTAAATGTTGGCTTTTGGTTGTCAACAGTTGCAACCCATATCCAACCAAAAACCATCATTAATACAAGATAGGGAGAACTGCTTACCCACTCTACTCTGGTACCCTAAACAAACTGTAGTGCAATGATTTGCATTTAGAAGTTAACACATTGTCCAGGCGCCACACAATGGCAGCCCACTGCTCCCCAAGGGGATGGGTTAAATGCAGAGAGTGAATTTCGTTGCTCTGTACTTGTGACACAACTAGTGTAATGACAATAATACGTTGGGGGAAAAAAATAGAGAGAATTTTCTGTATAAAGACCATGAACCAGAGCAAACTCCCTTTTGATTAGTTGGACCTAAATGCTGGCAAATCAAGCCTACCAAACAGTGTTTGCCTCTTATTTTTAAACTATTTTTTATTCATGAAAGAAATGAAAATAAGCAATTGCCACAAGATTACCATGATGGTAACTGAATGGAAACAGCAAAGCATCTGGGAAACTGACAGTAGACAACCTACAAAGAAGGTGAGGAAACCGACGGGTTTTTAACAACCGAAGGCCGAAGAGTGGGACGAGATCCAAGGATGGCTAAAATGCTGAATGTAGGACAGTTGTGGCAGAACCTAAGCAGTAAAATACATGAATGTGGCTAAATCAATGCAAAATGGAAACAGGGTGCCTGAACCAAAACACCATTGGAAATATAAAAAAAAAACAAATGAAAAAAATATCAAATGACCATGGATTAAGAAGACCAACATGTCTGGTATAAAGAACATATTAAGGTAAAGAGCAGGGTTATTTTACAAGGCAATATTCCATCCCCAGGTTTGATGGATCTGCACAGACCCACAGCTCAGGTGTAACTAAGCTAGCTATTATTTGTGCAATCCACAAATCTGGCCTTTAAGAAAAATGGCCAGAAGAAAAGTCTTAAAAAAGGGGGGTTGTGGTACGAGTTACAGTGGTGCACTAAATGTATTTTGCATTTGTCCATCATTGTAAATCCCTATACGATAAATTTTTAGTTTGTCGTTGAAATCTGATAGTATGCAAAGGTTCATAGGCTATGAATACTTTTACAAGGTACTTTAAAAGACTTTTTATAGTCTCAAAATGTAAAGAAATTACATTTGTTCTGTACTGTAAGTATAACTGTAGCTCCGTTTTGTGTGTCTTGATAAAAAAAAGTGATAAACATTCATAAGAAAATTTCCTCTCCAGATGTAAATTTTGCCCTGCAAGGAATGTCTTGTCCATCTCAAGTTACCCCTCCCCTCATCACTCTCCTGCTGTAAGCACCCTCTCTACCTCTCTGTTTTGTCCGGTCAGTTCCCTGCTAAGGCCAAGGAAATCTGCTACTGACCAGACTTTGACCTCAGCCCTTGGCTCAATGTTTTTTTTGCCACAAGCTGTTCAATGTGCCCTACCTGAGGATTTCAGCTTCTGCAGCTGGTTTATGAACAGATTAAGCAGTCTCAGAAGCTGGTGAGTGCTTTGCCCGCTTCCGCCACTCTCTCTGATTTCAATGCGCTTACTGTTCTTATGCAGGCCCAAAAAGTGAACAGGGTACTCATGTACCAGTTTATAATCAGATTAATAGTTTGAGCGCTCCACATTTAAGTGCTGCATAAAGCCAGTGTAGAGCCTTTAACCTGGAGGTAATTCTCATGTGTTTGCAATGGATAATGTCAAAGAGATACTGGTAACATCTCAGCTGCTTCTCACAAGGTATTAGATCACCTCTCCACTCTTACATTTAAAGAGATAAATTGTGGTTTTTGCTGATAAACATCATGGGGTCAATATAAGTAAAAAATATAACACCTATTATTGCAAAATAGTGGTTAGTAAAATACGTCAAGGAATATTAGTAGTAAAGAAAATGCGCAGCGCCACTGAAAGTGGATCAGGGGAGAAAATGTTATAGCTTCATAGAGGGATGAAAGTGACACACAAGCAGTGGAAAAAGATGCAGTGAGAGTAATCTAAACACCAAGTAGATGCATTGAATGAGAAGCAGATACTGCAGGCTGCATGCTGTGTTTTACTAAAAGTGCACACAAGGACGGAACATGTAGTTTAAATTTGCATGATGCTTGACTTCCAAAGATACTAACAGTTGAAACCAAATATTTGCATACGTTAAAGTGTACGAAAGACACACAATATTTTGTTCCCACGGTATGATATTAAATAAAAAGAAACTTTCACCTGCTTTAGGTACCTAAAGCAACTACTCAGTGGTTTAATTCTTTGACTTAAACAGGAACGACCTAGGATTTAATCCCAGATGTGCGTGTGAGCAGCTGAAAGGACTCATCTTTTTAAAAATAACGAGAGACCATTTTTATTTAATTGATTAAGTTTACATATATTTTCTTAGTGATAATTCAAAAGAATATTTGACAAATCCTTCTTACCAAACTGGTGCAACTTCATAGGGTTTCAAGACTGCTTTGCTCACACAACTATTCAGCTCCGTCCACAAATATTCTATTGGAGTGAGAACAGGGCTTTTTGATGCCCACTCCAAAGCACTGACTTTGTTTAGCAATGGAAAGACAAATATATCCCCATGCTTTAACTTCCTGCTTCATGTCTTTAGATGTTTCTTGAGTATTTTCACAAGTTGTTATTTTCTCTAGACGCTATCTTGTAACTATATTGCACTGGTCTTTTGGGTTGCAAAACACCCCCTAAAACATGAGATGTCACCCCTAAAATTCACACTGTGGATTCTGTTTTCACATCATAATCCATGAGTGTTTAGTGTAGTTTTTATTCTAGGTTCTTATTACATCTTGCCATGCATTGCAAACTGAAAATGGAGCTCATTCATCCTACATTTGTCTGACAATTACCTTGATCTCTTTTACCTGCATCACCATGGCTTCTTTTACCCTGTGTTTAAGCTTGCTGGTTGTCATTGTTCTTTATTGTTTCCTTTCACTAACTTTATGCTCTTTGTTGCTCAAAAGTTGTACTTCTTTATTCAGACATTTTTTTTCTCATTTTGCATTAAAGTATTTGTTCAAATTTCTTTCCTGTTCTGTATTTAGGTCCTTTAAAACAACAACATTACATCTCAGGCTTGCAAACTTTCCCCCTTTTCCCATAAATTAAAAGAGGGCAATATTTTTGAAAAAAAAAAAATAAAAATCAATGTTAAATTAATGAGACCAACTGATATGTATTTAACATTAAAGTATTTCTCCAGGAGTGCATTTTGCAAATGATAATGTTTTATGTTGCTCTTGGCTTTTCAATTTATGTTGTTACTGGACCTGTGAAACTCTCTTACCAGCTTCAATTAATATTTCAACAAGTTATTTTGATTTGTTCTGGGGTTGATAAAAAAATCTTAAACGTAAAAAATGTATTTAACTAATCCATGACCTAATTATTTAGGATTTCCCAAATTGAGTGCATTATAACCTTAATCTACGTAGAATTCTAAATTCACAAGTTGTAATAAAAAAATCTCTAAAATATTTGGTCTCATTTTTTTTTTAAATATGACCAGTTAAAATCATTTTGGTAACCTAAGCAATTTAAACCATGATCTTGTTTCTGATCTAATAAGTCAGGAAACGAGAAATAAATTACAAATATCTTTAAATCTTTATGCTTTTGTTAAAGAAAATGGGACAGCACCATCAAATTCCGCTTAACTTACAAATCCAAAATTATACTTACGATATTTTCATTTTTTTACATTCAAACTCCTTTTGCATTTAGCATTGTGCTTTTTGCTGTCTAAGCAGAGTCATATAAGTCCTGTGCTTTGGTAGCAAACATTGCACAACTTAAAATACATCAAATGAGAGCAAGAACTGTGTCACTTTTCAAGAAAATTATGCAAATTTGGGGCCTTGAAAAACAGCCAAGGTGGGATTCTTTAAGGATGAAAAGGGGGCCTCCCTATTTTTAGAACAATTATTAAAACGTTCCAAGCTTCCCATAAAAAGAAAAAAGAAAAAAACACCAGCTCTCAAAGGTCAAGTTATTTGCCTGACTGGAAATTTTCTGAGTCTTAAAGCAGCAGCACAGTTTAATGGCCACAAATGAGCAATTTCACACATTCATTCCTCA